AACCCACCCAGAAGCATCAGCCACAACAAAAAGCAGCAGCTAAGCTTTTGACGGGGGTGGGGAAGGGCACTTCTGGTTGGGCATGCCAAATAAATAATAATAATAATAATAATAATAATAATAATAATAATAATAATAATAGTAGTAGTAGTAGTAGTAGTAGTAGTAGTAGTAGTATTTATACCCCACCCATCTGATTGGGTTGCCCCAGCCACTCTGGACAGCTTCCAACACACACAAAAACATAATATAACATCAAACGTTAAAAACTTCTATCCCCTAAATGCCTGTATAATCCTACCTTGTAGGTCATGTCATCTGTGGAAACCTTCCTGTGGGTTCTGCCACCAGCTACAGTGCGTTTGTGTGGTTCCTGGCCTTTGGAACCCCCTGCCACAGGACGCCTGTGTGTCTCCCTCTCTGATCTTATCCTACTGCCAAGTGAAAAGAGTTTTCTTTTCCAGCAGGCTTTTATTCTGAGCTCTGTTAACTTTACCTGACTCTCCTTTGTTCTGTTTATAACCTTGTTCTACCTGCTCCTTCCTTTTGTTTGACTCCTTTATGGCCATCTTTGCATCGTGCTGGGTTAGCCGTGTGATTTTTCATTCCAAAATTGGAAAGGCAGTGGGGGGGAGATGAAAAAACTAAAACCCTGGGAAATCCAGAATTTGATTTCCAAATGTTGCAAGGTAATGGAGTACTGATTACCCAGGAAGCAGTCTCCAGTTTGGAAAAAGCGGAAGCAAGGGGAGAAGTTTGCACCTTTTAAAACCTTTATCTCTTATCTTAAATCTGTTTATAACCTAACACCTGTATTTGCACTGCCTCACTGATTGCAGATAAAAGGTAGACTTGGGGGAAAGAAGTAGATCCTCTACTTCCGTTGATGAAAACCTGTTTAGTGTGTAATCCAAGTACAGTGGTACAGTACCTTGATTCTCAAACTTAATCTGTTCTGGAAGGCCATTCCAAAACCAAAGCGTTCCAAAACCAAGACGTGCTTTCCCATAGAAAGTAATGCAAAACGGATTAATCCGTTCCAGACTTTTAAAAACAAACAAGACCATTGATCCATAAAATGAAAGCAATAATCAATGTACTGCACTATAAAATAAATAAGACAGTATTGTAGATGATAAAATAAAATAAAATAAAAAATCTTACCTGCACTGATGATAGTCATTGTTTGGATGGGGGCACTTTTATCCATTTCTGCAGTCACACAATCAATCAATCAATCAATCAATCAATAGCTGAGCTGGGTTCCACACAGTCACAAAAACAAAACAAACGAAAAAGTCTCAAAAACAAAAATGCAAAATAAATAGCAAAAACAAAAGCGCCAAACTTAATCCGTTCCAGAAGTCTGTTTGACTTCCAAAATGTTCGAAAACCAAGGCACTGATTGGTGCAGGCGCCCCAGAAACAATAGCCGACAGCTGCATCGGATGTTCAGCTTCCGAAAAATGGTCGAAAACTGGAACACTTACTTCCGGGTTTTCGGCGTTTGGGAACCAAGGCGTTTGAGTACCAAGGTGTTTGAGAACCAAGGTACCACTGTAGGTGGGTTGTGTCCTCAGAGGTGCTGCACACAGCAAAAGGGAAAGGGATTGCTGGTTTATTGACTGCAGTTCATCTTTGAGGTGACTTGTCGTTTGCAACCTGTCTTAGATGGGGATGAAGAGTCAGGTGTGCAGCCTGGAAGTCAGTTCTTCCGGATTCGCTGCTCTTGATGGAGAGGCACTTAGATGGAGTGGCCAGGAAGACTTTTTACCAGCTTTGCTGGCTTACCAGCTACAGCCCTCTCTTGAGGAAGGCCTTATCCATTCTTCTGCTTGTCCTGCCGCTTTCCCCCCAGGGAAACCTGATCTTACCTCTGAATCAGGTTTTTATGGATTGACGTTTGCTCTGAATCAGCAACAAAGAGCAGATTTTCTTGGGGAAAGTGGTGAGGCAAATGAAAAACCTGCTCAGACTTGTGCTTTTCTGAAGATAGTTCAGAAACTTCAGTTGGTACAGAATGTGCAGCAGGAATGCCGACAGGGGCTGACAGAGAGCCTAGATTAGGGGCCAGCAAATGTTTTCAGCAGGGGGCCGGTCCACTGTCCCTCAGACCTTGTGGGGGGCTGGACTATATTTGGGGGGGGAATGAACGAATTCCTATGCCCCACAAATGACCCAGAGATGCATTTTAAATAAAAGCACACATTCTACTCATGTAAAAACATGCTGATTCCCAGACCATCTGCGGGCCAGATTTAGAAGGCGAGTGGGCCGGATCTGGCCCCGGGCCTTAGTTTGCCTATCCATGACCTAGATGGAATGTGGCCCCTGAACTGGAAAAGGTTCCTCATATACTGTATATATTTTTAAAGTTTTCTGATTTTTGGAACAAAGCTGAGTTGGGGGCAGATAAGGAAGTGGGAACCACCTTCAGGCTTGTCTGTCTGACTCTGCTCGTCATGGACCATGGGCAGTAGAGTCCACCTTCCTATCTCCCCCTTTTGCTCCGTGTAGGTTTTTCCTGGGTCTCAAACACAAGACAAAATCTCTTTGACAGCTCTCCCTGGCACCATGCCTGGCTCCTCCTGCAGGCTGGGCCTCACTGTTTGGTTTTCTGGGGCCCTCTTCACCGTTTAGCCTCTCTTATCTTGAATGGTTTGTCTATTTTGGGCGATTCCTTGCCCTCTTGCAGAGCGTGAGTTGCAGCTCTTTCAAGGCAGCTTTGCCAGTCTCTCCAGTGGGATAACCTTTTGGCCCAACTGCTGTTTGCTTTGGGTTTTCCAAAAGCCTCTTGCTGACCTGGTTAACTGATAATCCAGGCTATTGCGAGAGAGATAAAGAGATGCAGGCCGCTGCAGCAGCACTGTTACTCCAGGACTTAAGCAGCTGTGTAACAGGATAAATTGCCAAAGACCAGTGGCTCTCTCTCTTTTATATATATAATTTTTTATTAGTTTTTTTATAACATATTTTCAGCAGTAATTAAACATACTTTTACATCTTATTCAACTTTTTGATTTCCATCAATCCTGTCTGAAAATTTTCCAATCTAATCTCTCAGTATGCATTTCTTATCTTCCCTATTCCATTTCAAACTCATAACCAATTTCTCTATCTTTTTCTACTTTGTAACACTTCGTATATTTCTCCTTACAAAACGTATTGTAGCGTAATTTGTTGATTACAGTTGCTCTTCAAATAATTCATATACTTCTTCCAATCTTCTCTGTCTGACTCTGCTCGTCATGGACCTGGTCCCGCAGGTTTCGAATCCTTCTTGTCATTTTGTCCAATTCTGCATAATCCATTAATTTCGTCTGCATTCTTCTTTCGTTGGAATTTCTTCTTGTTTCAAGATCTTAGGGCCTTTTCGAGCTGCCAGCCCTGGTTTGCAACAAAGTGTGGCGTGACCACATCCACACCAAACATTATAAAATGATATTATTCCACTTGGGCAGTCATGACGTCGCCCAATGAATCCTGGGAACCGTGGTTTGTTGAAAGTTGTTAGGCGACCCCCTATTCCCCTCACAGAGCTACATTTCCCAGAGTGCCCTGGGAAGAGGGATTCCCAGCCTGGGAACTGTAGTTCTGTTGCAGGGGGGTGGATAAAGGTAAAGGTAAAGGGACCCCTGACCATTAGGTCCAGTCGTGACCGACTCTGAGGTTGCGGCACTCATCTCGCTTTATTGGCCGAGGGAGCCGGCGTACAGCTTCCGGGTCATGTGGCCAGCATGACTAAGCCGCTTCTGGTGAACCAGAGCAGCGCACGGAAACACCGTTTACCTTCCTGCCGGAGTGGTACCTATTTATCTACTTGCACTTTGGTGTGCTTTTGAACTGCTAGATTGGCAGGAGCTGGGACCAAGCAACAAGAGCTCACCCCGTCACGGGGATTTGAACTGCCGACCTTCTGATCGGCAAGTCCTAGGCTCAGTGGTTTAACCCACAGCGCCACCCGCTTCCCTTATGGGGTGTGTGGATAGGGGTCTCCTAATAACTCTCAGCACCTTTAACTACCCTGCCCAGGATTCTTTGGGGGAAAGCCATGTCTTTTGAAGTGGTATAACCGTGTGGCCCGCCAGGGGGCTGCATCCAGAACCGTTAGCCACAATTGCATTCCCATACCTATGCCAAAGTTTTGTGCCACAAATCTCAAGTTGCACAGATCCTTGGAATAGTTATTGAGGGAATATCGGATATCAGGCGGGGTTGTAGTTAACGCAGCTGTTGCAGCTGACACCTGACTCTCGGTGTGCCTGTAGGGTTTTGCACTCTTTCCAAACAAGTCTTTGCCTTAGTGGCTGGTACATTTTTAGGAACATGAGGCAACTCCCATTTGCTTGTGTAAGGTGGAGGTGTGTCTACAGGTGGCATGTATGTGGGGGGGGGGAGGTGAGGTGAGGGAGATTCCCTCTCCCCAGACAAGTATCTTTCTTTCCTAGGCAACAGGAAGACCCTTATTCCCCATAGCAGAGGGGCAGACCATCTGCCTTGCATGCAGAAGGTCCCCAGAAATTCCCTTCTGATTTATCTCTTTTGTCTGTGTTAACTCTTGGGGTACCTCCAGGTCCCAACATCAAACAATCCCTAGAACTGAGTGTCTGGATTGCATGTGAGAATTGCAGGCGTGTGTGTACACTACACACTTAGTAACTCTTGGCAGGTTTTGTGTCGCTGAACAGAACGTGGGCTTCCAGCTGGAACATTTTGTAACCTTGCTCTCTGTCAAGATCTAGGGATCTAGACCCTAGTGGTCGTGCATCTGCTTGGCATGCAGAATGTGTCCCAGGCCTCCGTTCACAGGTGGGTCTGGGGAAGACCCCTGCCTGAAACTGGACAGCTGCCATCTGTCTGCTTAGACACTTATGAGCTAGATGGGATAGTGGCTTGGCTGTTTCCTGTGTTATGTGCTACGATCACCACCTAATGGCTGCTTTTTCGCTTGGGATACAACCTGTATTATTCTGTGTCTCCCTTCCCTTCTTTTTCTGCAGCACGAAACCAATGCATGAGAAAGCAGGGCTCATGCACAGCCTGGACAAACTGGAGGCATTACACAAGGAAAAGAGCTTGGATTCTCCAAATGGCAGGTGAGTGCGGTTGCGTTTTGCTTTGCTTTTTAAAGGGACTGAGTTCATCTCTCCCCCCACTCTCTCTCTCTCACACACCCACACACACCCCACATTGCTTTCCCTTCCCTTTCTGCTGGGATCATATCTAATAGCTACCATCTGGGTGTTTGTAAACTGCGCTCAGTTGACATTAGGCATCAATCTGATGTGCTCTTATTTGGGAGAGAGCCCCATTCAAGCGCATGCTTAGGATGACACTTCAGCTGTAAAAAGTCAACACAAAGGGCCGAAATAAGTGTAACTAAGGTCCGTACTTAACCTGAAACTGTTCTTAACCTGAATTGCACGAATGCGATTGGGTGTTTAGCTTTTGTATAAATGTTGTGTTTCGTTTTTCCCATCTAAAGAGCAGCTGCAGGGAGGCAGCACAGGATCAGGACCCTGGCACACAGGGAAGGAGAAATTAATCCTCCTTCCCCATGCTTCATTCCCATTCTGCCCTGCCACCAAAATTGGTCGGCCCTGGGAGGGGAGCCTCTGTAGATCTAATACAGAATATAGGGCTGTCGCCGGCTACTGTTCACAAGGTGTATGTCTGGCCCCACATCCTGTGTGTCCACCACCCACATGTTCCCTATGCACACACCCTAGAGATTTAGGATCTTTTGCTGGAGTCAAAATGCGCATTCCTTACTAATGGGTGTTTTTACTCATGACCTTGTGCCTAACAAAGGAGTTCACGCACCAGGAAAGAAAGAACGGTTGGTTTGTTACATGAAATAAAGGAGGCAGAGTACACAGATGCTTCTTTTTGACAGCCTGGTTGCACATAAACAAGCAGGGAGTCATACACAGTACATACACACCTTAGATCTAAAATGGATCCCTAGCTACCTAAATGCCTGGAGAGTAGGCGCAGCAGTCTTCCACAGACCCATGCTAAAGAAGGAAGAGGAAGGGGGAGTGTGTACCTGTCCTGAAGTAAGCGGAATGTAAGTTAGGGGTCAGAGATCTCTGCCTTCCTTGCGGGAGTTATGTGGCCCCTGTTAATATCCTGTACAAACAAGGCTCCAGCATCTCTCTCACCTGTTCCCTGGTCCAGTGAAGCTGGTGGAGCTTGTGAACTACCCAACCATGCAAATCTGAAGTTTAAAATACCATTTGAGGGCAAATGTAACTACGAAGAGGAGAAGGATCTTCGTGGATGCATGTGTGTCCCAACACCTTCATGCCGCTTTTTAAAATTTCCTACAAATTCTTAGTGGCTTGCTATTTTCTTTGACGTGGAAAAGGACACAGCCCTCGTGAGATATGACTAACAGGAAACATACAGATAACCTGTTAGTCATTTCTCACGAGGGTCATGTCCTTTCAACTTCAAACGTGACTTTACTTTTGGGAGGAAGATTCCATTGTCTACGCGGAACCCGATTCTTTCTTACAGGAGGTGATAGCGAAACTTTGCCGGTAGAACGTAGGATTAGTGTGCTAATCTTTTACAGTAAGGGTTAGGGGGGCAGAATTAATAACCTGCTTTTTCAGTACGATACTGTCAAACAGAACAAAATGCAGCATAAAAAGGAATGGAAAGCAGAAAGGCGGAGCAGCAGCCAAAAGAATCGATTAGGTAAACTGAACATCAGAAACCTGTCCTGAAAGTGCAGGTCTTTTAAAGCCCATTTTAAAAGAACCAAGACCTCTAATTTGGCAGACCTCAGTACAGTGGTACCTCGGGTTAAGTACTTAATTCGTTCCGGAGGTCCGTACTTAACCTGAAACTGTTCTTAACCTGAAGCACCACTTTAGCTAATGGGGCCTCCCGCTGCCGCCATGCCGCCGGAGCCCGATTTCTGTTCTTATCCTGAAGCAAAGTTCTTAACCTGAAACACTATTTCTAGGTTAGCGGAGTGTGTAACCTGAAGCGTATGTAACCTGAAGTGTATGTAACCCGAGGTACCACTGTAAGTTGATTATGTTTGCAGACCCCAGAATGCCCTCTTGACAGCCGCCACCAGCCTAATTGAGTTTTGAGCGGGATCTTGATAAAAGTGCAGGGTTTTTTGAGTATGGCCGTAGGGGTGCCCATCCGTGGAATCTCCCTTTGTCTTCCAGCCTGCACCTGAGTGATGCCATCAAGGAGGAGGAGTTAAAGAAATGCCGCAGCGAAGTCACGGTGAGTTGGGGAGGGGCAGGGTGCTGGTTTCCGGGACTCTGCAGCCACTGCCCTTGGTCAGGGGCAAACCGTCTGGCCGGATTCTGCTTGCTTTTCCCATATAATCTTTCCTCCCTGCTGGACTGAAAGCAGCCTCTTGCATCCTGGTCCTGCTGCTCCACCTTCTGCTCTTGGCTTAATCTTCACAGGAACTCTGGCCTAGTGACACCTGCTAGATACAGTATTTACCTTTTATGGGCTCTCTCCATGCATGTTTTTATTGTTATTATCACCGACTTCTCTCTTCAGGTGCCCCATGGCGGGGGGCGGGGAGGTGTCTAAATAATTGTTAGGCATTGCAGAAAGAAACAAGCTTTGAGCAGACAGCACAGGAATAGTCATCTATCCATATAAAGCAGGAACGTTTTCCAGCCCAGGGGCCGCATTCCCTTCGGGGCAACCTGCTGAGGGCCACATGTCAGTGTGGGCGGGCCAGAGACAAAAGGAGGCGGAGCAACAAATGTCCTCGTTACCTTTGTGCAGTAGGCTAATGGGTTTTACTTCCCAGGACTTTACTATCCGGACAGTGTGTTCTTTGTCTCTTTTCTGAGCTCTTCATAACGGGTCCTGGGAGGAGGAGGACATGATGAGGAGGATTTAAGTGAAAAGGCTGCAAGAATGGTAAACCTGTGGTCAGACTATTTTGCCCAATATCTGCCTGCTGCCAGTGCACTCGGGCGTGACCTCTTTGATATCCTGAGCTCTTTTTCTGTCTGTTTTTTTTTGTCTAGCCTCCCAATAAATACAACTCACAGTACCACAAGTTGTTCAAGGACATCCCTACCGAGGAGAGTGTGCTGAAAGGTGAGTGGTAAACATTGCTTAAAGGGAGGAAGCGAATCATAGAGTTGGAGGGTAGTATTGGAGGCTGGCTGCTCTGGTCTGGCGGTTCATTTCTGGATGAGGCTCTCAACAGCCAGAGGCCTGGTTTTGAAAACAGGCTCGTCGGCCATTGGCCGGCAAAATCAGCTGGCTGTATTCCAACTGAAGCCACCTCCTAGAGGGCAACCTTAGCCCAGAGTGTCTAACCCACCTGGTTTTCTGAAGGCCAAACTCGATGCGACACAATAAATGTAATTAGTAGTTGCTCGAATGCTTTTTGAAAAGTGAATTGCAGGAGCCACATGGACCTGGATCTTGGAATGGGGGCTTGTGGTTGCCAGCTTCGTTCATCACTGTGTCCCCATTGGAGCAGGGGGAGAACCTCAATTTGCCTTGTGGGTGAGAAAGAAGTTCCAAAGTTCCAAATAACAGGGCTGAGGAAACTTTGGTCCGTGGGCCAGTCTTGACCCATCAGGAACTCCAAGCTGACAGTTGAGGCCATTTCCTCCCAACCACACCCACCTTCCAATCAGCTGGTGTCACTGGGTGGGAACAGCTGATGGGGTGCTGCTTTTCCAGCAAGTCCCCTTGGGGGAATGCGATGGTGAAGCAGACTCTGCCCCATGGGGGAGCTTTTGACAACTGGGTGAGGCCACCCACTTATCAGTCTCCTGATGCCATCGTGACACCACCCACGTCTCAGAGTAAATCTGCAGTGGTGGGGAAAGATAAAGATCTGATTCCTGCCTCCTGTAGAATAATAACAAGACCTTCCTTAGAACTAACAGAACATCATAAAGTAGTACAGGTGAAACTCGGAAAATTAGAATATTGTGGAAAAGTTCATTTATTTCAGTAATTCAACTTAAAAGGTGAAACTAATATATGAGATAGACTCATGTCATTCAAAGCAAGATATGTCAAGCCTTTATTTGTTATAATTGTGATGTTTATGGCGTACAGCTGATGAAAACCCCAAATTAGCAATCTCAGAAAATTAGAATATTAAATGAAATCAGCAAAACAAGGACTACAAATAGAGAAATATTGGACCTCTGAGAAGTAGAAGCATGCACACGTACTCAGTACTTGGTTTGGGCTCCCTTTGCATCAATTACTGCCTCAATGCGGCGTGGCATGGATGCTATCAGCCTGTGGCACTGTTAAGGTGTTAAGTTGAATTACTGAACTTTTCCACAATATTCTAATTTTCCGAGTTTCATCTGTAGGCAAGTTTCAAGTTCCCTTCCATTGTGCCTTTTACAGTGGTACCTCGGGTTACATACGCTTCAGGTTACATACACTTCAGGTTACAGACTCCGCTAACCCAGAAATAGTACCTCGGGTTAAGAACTTTGCTTCAGGATGAGGACAGAAATCGCTCGCACGGCGGCGGCAGCGGGAGGCCCCATTAATTAGCTAAAGTGATGCTTCAGGTTAAGAACAGTTTCAGGTTAAGAACGGACCTCAGGAACGAATTAAGTACTTAACCCAAGATACCACTGTATTTTATTTGTAACCCCAGTGGTATATTCCAGATCTCCTTTCATTTATGTACAGCCGCTGCCACCAGCAGGGTGCATTGAATCTTGACTGGGGGCAAACCGCTTTGGGAGGTAATGTTTCCCCCCCGCAAAGCACAGCCTTTCACACGATGCCTTTTCTCTTTGCAGTCTGCTCCTGTGCTCTCCAGAGAGACATCCTCATCCAAGGCCGCCTCTACATCTCCCCAAACTGGCTCTGTTTCTATGCAAACCTTTTTGGGAAGGATATCAAGGTGAGTCAGTAAACATTAGCAGACTAAAAGAGGAGCGTGTTCGATGGAGATCAAATGAAGTGGCGACAGTAATAAAAACCACCCACCAAATGCTTGAGCACAGGGAAGTCTGCCTACTTGCTTTTTCAAACCTGTTGGCCAGTCAAACATTGATTGCAGCATTGGACGTGCCTTCTCCAAGTGTTGGCCCTCAACTGCTGCATCTCAAATGTAGCAGAAGTTCCGGGGGAAATCTGATATCTATGCTTGGAGCTGCTGGCTGCAGGGTGGGGGGAAAGCCCTTTTTAAAAGTAAATATTTATTTTTGTTAGTTTTCCAAATTATTACAAATCTGTCCCAATTACTTTAATTTAATACAATTTCTTAAAACCAGGTTTCCAACTTCTGTTGCAAACATATGTCCATTTCTTCCTCATGTTGCCACATCTTCTCATCTTTAATTTCCATTTCAGCCATTACTTGTTGTTGTCTATTCTTACAGCAGCCATATTTTCCTCCTCACAGACAGCAGCTCTGTCATCTCTTATAAATACAAAATCCATTTTTGCGTGTGCAGTCTTTCATAATCTTCATGCTGTCTCAAACCTAGAGTACTGGAGGAGTTTGAATATTATCTTCCTTTGTTCATTCTTTGCAGCACATTCAATCTGAGGTCCCAGGGTGCGATGTTTGCCAAATGTTTACATTCCCACTTCCACTGCCCACCCCTTAGATACAGGCCCTTGACCCCACATGGTTTGGGGGCAGAGACTTGCCCTGCCTGTATGCTTGACAGGTGCTCTGAACTTGGGGTGCCCCGTGGGCTTGGCCCTAGAGGCAATCCTGTTCCTCGGCTTATTTAATTCAGACAGGAGGCCCAACTCTGTCTCTGCTCCGTGCTCAGAACACCACTTGGGTCGCTAGAGGCCACCTCTGCTACCTGAAGACCTAAGCTGAGATTGGCTTTTGGGATGCACGCCAGCTTGCCTCTGCCTATAGCTCCAGATTTGGGATCTCACTCGCCTGAGCGTGACTCCCCACTCGCCATGGCAAGGTGGACAAGCAAGATGGTTGAACCCAGCTTTCTAAGGTGCAAGAACATCTTATGGAAACAAATGTCACTTTTTCGTTTTGTTTTAAATCCTCAAAGCAAGCTGCTTTGGAGGCAAGGCCTGTGTCTGTGGCATAAGAGAAACCATAGCTGAATCTGATAACGATGCAGAATTCCTGCTGCTTTCCTTGATTTACAGTTCTGGGGTTATCTGGTAAACACTGCCGTTGATGGGTAACGCTCGTCCATATTTAGAACAGACTTCCTTAAAATGGTGCCGAACGGCTGAATTATTTATATCCTGAGCGCTACCTATTTAAATAAACATTGCTCAGGAAGAAGGCTCCACAACGTTCAGCCCATTTAGCAGGACTCTTCTGTCGTTACATTGCAATTTCTCTAACTGCAGCCTTGAACTTTTCCCTCCGACTGTTTATTTTCCTTAGATTGAGGGTCATGTCCACAATCCGTGGCATGTTCTTCTTTCTCCCCCATGTGCTAGGCACTAAGTAAAGGAGATGGCTTTTCTGCCTTGATGTCAGGAGCCGGAGTCAGGAACAGCTCAGCAATAAAAACAACAACACGGGAGTCAGTGAAGTTAACTCTTTCTTCGAAGAAACCCAAACAGCACAGGCCTAGTGATCACACCAGCTCTTCCCAGTAGGTCTTGCCCCAATGAGGCAGTTGTGAGGCCTGAAAGTCCCCACATTCCCACCGCTCTCTAAGGCTCCTCCCCCAACAACCTAAGGCTCCATCATCTTATCTCTCGTTGCTCCTCCCTCTTCATTTCTCTGTGTGTTCTGGGAGACCAGGGGGAAAGGGAGCTGGTCACGGCAGGAGGGGGAGACTCCCTGGCTTCTTCAGCAGCCTGCCTCATCTCTGCCTCCTGGCCCCACTCCTCTCCTGCCTCTGATTCTGCACCGCTCTCTGCCACAGCCTCTTCCTGCTCATGAAACCCTGTTGCCTCTTCAGCTTCCGACACCTCCTTCTTCCAGTCTTCCCCCTCTGACCATACACTTGTCATCCCACCACCAATCCCCTGTCTCTGAGCTTCTTCCCCTGGGGGTTCCCCAGCTAGTGCCTCCCACCACTCCTCTGGATCCAGCCTGCCCATGACACTTGAGAGTCTTCCTAGGCCTTTTGTTTTATGTCAAAGGCTGGGTACATTTGCTTCATGCCAGTCCCTCCTTTACTGCATGTGTGGTGCTTGCTCTGACCCAGCACCCAGCATAATGACAGCCATACAAGCCCAACGGAGGAGAGAGGGAAAGACTTGGCCCCTTTCTTGTTCTAAGTTCAGCCGTTTCCCTGGGGCTGATGTGTCACTGCCCTGCACCCTCAGGCTGCTGCAAGGGGCTCCCTGACAACAGCAATGCCTGCTGGGGCTCTTTGCCTGCCAGGGCTTCTGCTGTGGGTCCCCAGCAGCTTCATTTGTGGTCACTGTCCTAATTCTTCTCAAATGCAATGGTCTGGAAATTGCACCATTGCAGAGCATTTGGAGACAACAACAACAACGGCCCTGCCATGAAACCTGGCATCCAGCACATGCTTATTTATAGGAATAATAATAATAATAATAATAATAATAATGGCCCTGCCATGAAACCTGGCATCCAGCACATGCTTATTTATAGGAATAATAATAATAATAATAATAATAATAATAATGGCCCTGCCATGAAACCTGGCATCCAGCACATGCTTATTTATAGGAATAATAATAATAATAATAATAATAATAATGGCCCTGCCATGAAACCTGGCATCCAGCACATGCTTATTTATAGGAATAATAATAATAATAATAATAATAATAATAATAATGGCCCTGCCATGAAACCTGGCATCCAGCACATGCTTATTTATAGGAATAATAATAATAATAATAATAATAATAATAATAATAATAATGGCCCTGCCATGAAACCTGGCATCCAGCACATGCTTATTTATAGGAATAATAATAATAATAATAATAATAATAATAATAATAATAATGGCCCTGCCATGAAATCTGGCATCCAGCACATGCTTATTTATAGGAATAATAATAATAATAATAATAATAATAATAATAATAATGGCCCTGCCATGAAACCTGGCATCCAGCACATGCTTATTTATAGGAATAATAATAATAATAATAATAATAATAATAATAATGGCCCTGCCATGAAACCTGGCATCCAGCACATGCTTATTTATAGGAATTCTTAGTTTCCCCCCAGGATATATAGCAATCTGCCTCTGCACTGGGTCAGACTATTGATCTATCTAGCTCTGGGTCATCTACATCTGCAGCAGCTGTGCAACATTTGGGAAAGGAGCCTTTCTCGGTTCTTTCTGAAATGGGGGCCTTCTGCCTGCTCTGCCACTGAGCTATGTGGTCTTTTCCTGCAGCTTGGAATTACTATAAGAAGTTGCATAACCAGTTTCATCAGAGCCCATGATGGGGCAGAAAACATGTACTGCAGGCAAGAGCAATTATCTGATGCTTCATTTCAGCCTCTGCAGTGCCTTCTGCTTCATCTGTTCACAGCCTGAGTATTTCCAGCCTTTATTGACAGTGAGCAGAATGTGGGTAGGGAAAGCTACTCATGGTTTGTTGTTGTTTTTAAACACCGATGTTTGACTGGCCAATAAGGTTAAAGAAGCAAGTAGACAGACTTTTCTGCTTGCAAGCATTTGATGGGTGGTTTTTTAAAGGTGCCCAGAGTTGTTAGGCAACCCCCATATCCCCCTCACAAAGCTACAATTCCCATACTGGTTTTAACAGCCACTCCCTCTTCCCAGGGAACTCTGGGAATTGTAGTTCTCTGAGGGGTCTCCTCACAACTCCCAGCAACCTTAACAAACCACAGTTCCCAGGATTCTTTGGGAGAAGCCACAAATATTTAAAAGCTTTCGGATGGCAGGAGCAGTGGAATGAACTCCCTCGGAAGAAGTTGGATGGCCATCTGTCGTGGGTGCTTTAGTTGAGATTCCTGCCTTGCAGGGGGTTGGACTAGATGACCATCGGGTCCCTTCCAACTCTACAGTTCTGTGATGCTAGGAAAGCGACAGGAAATGGCTTTAAATGCATAGTGCAAATGGGGTCTTACTTCCAGTTGCGCAAGCCTCCTCTCGTGGCTTGTTTGCAGACTGAATATGGTTAGGACTTGGGTGATGATTCTGCAACCAGAAATTAATGACCCAGGGAGTTATCCTGTGTGATCCCATGACTTCTGCTCTTGGCTCATGCACAAACTACATCCATTCTTCTCCGTCTCAGGTTGTCATTCCTGTTGTCTCTGTCCAGCTGATAAAAAAGCACAAAACGGCTCGCCTGTTGCCGAATGGACTTGCTATCACCACCAATGCCAGCCGAAAGGTAAGTGACACAGGCAAAGATCTGTACTATTTGAGGTCAAAGCTGTGAACATTTTCACCTATAAATACTTGGCCTTTTAGCCTCTACAGCAATAAATCTGCTGTATTTGGGAGTGGGGGGGGGGGGTCAGGGACATTAAAAGCTCATGTACGGAGTTGCCTTATGGCCCCGCCCACCCCAGGCCTGCAGCTTCTGATAGGTTACTCCCAAGGGAATGTGGCCCTTGACAGAAACTGGCTTAAGGAATGGGAGCTTGTGACATTCCAGGCATTGTTGTGTTCCAGCACCTATCAGACCCAGCCTTCATGACCGACAGCTAGGGATGATGGGAGTCGTAGTCCAACAACCTCTGGAAAGCCACAGATCAGCCTCCCTGGCTTTGAGCCTTGGGTCTGCAGTGCAAATCAGGACCTCTCCACATTTCCACCCAGCCCTTCAGAACTCCCCCGGTGCGAATTGTGTCCCTTTACAATGTTGGGTTCAGTCCCAGCCTGCCCTCTTCATGGGTTACGTCAACTCCGAAAGGAACGGGAAGTTGCTGGTTGTTTCAGCAGAGTCTAGTAGGCTCCACGTCAGCGGCTAGCAGGTTCTAGTGCACTTGAGGCACCCATTGACTTTTGCTGGTGAAAGCTTATGATGCAAATAAATCTGTTCGCCTTAGATGTGTCATGCAATTCCCCCCCACTTCATGTCCTTGGCATTTAGGTCTGGAGGCAATGATTTCCCACTCAGTACTTATACTGTATATGTTTTTTGTTTGTGTGTAAAAACCTGCTGCGTTGTTAATTATTATCTAGTGCCCTTTACTCCTTGTGTCACATCGGGGGTGGAGAACCCGTGCCTCCCTGGATGTTGACTCATCAGCCCCAAGCAGCATGGCCCAACTGCCCAAGGATGAATCAAGCTGTAATCCAGCTTCTGGAAGGGCCACAGCTTGCCCATCCCTGCCCCACATGAAAGGATTGCCAGCACTTCTGCGGTCACTGTTTCCTCACCTTTAGTTCTTCTAGCGCACCCTCTTTTTGCAGGCAGATGATCTTCCTTACATCGCCTTGATATCGATGCTTCCTCAAATCTTGTGCCATGTTGAGTTCAGTTGGTATCTTGTTTGAGAGGAGGGAGCTGGAGCTCCCATCTTCAGCCTGTTCATGCACAATGTACCCACCTGCTCCCTGTGGCCAAGTGCGGTACTAGTTTTGCCACCTTTTCTTGGACAGGGTGTGTGTGAGAAGGGTGCTCAGAGCACAGAAGGCAGGGGAAAAGGCAGATGGAACTACTACAAATGTGGCATCCTTCTCCGGTGAGAGCAGGCGCTCACAATGTTTATTCGTTTAAAACAGGCTTGGGACTCCCAACGCCCACCAGCCCCTGACAGCATCAGGGATTTGGGGAACTGTAGTACAGTGGTGCCCCGCAAGACGAACGCCTCGCAAGACGGAAAACCCGCTAGACGAAAGGGTTTTCCGTTTTGGAGGCGCTTCGCAAAACAAATTTCCCTATGGGCTTCCTTCGCAAGACGAAAGCCCATAGGGAAATCTCCGGGACAGCGGGGAAGCGCTGCGCATCTTCCCCACTGTCCTCGGACCTCCTCCGAAGGCTGGCGGTGGGGCGGGGAGACCTCCTCCCGCCACCAGCCTTCGTTTCTCCGCTATCCCGGACGGCTTTTGAAGGCAGGCGGGGGGGGGGAGCAAAGACTTTCGCCCCCTGCCGGCCTTCAGAAGAGGTCCAGGACCTCTTCTGAAGGCCGGCGGGGGGCAAAAGTCTTTGCTCCCCCCTGCCTGCCTTCCCGGGGGCTTCGCTGCCACCCGCCAGCATTTTAAGATTGCCCCGGACAGCGGAGAAGTCTCCGCTGTCCCGGGGTTTTTTAAATGCTGGAGGTGGGAAGAAAAGCCCTTGTCCCCCCCCCCCAGCCTTCAGAAGAGGTCGGGGGACAGACTGTCCCCGGACCTGGTCTGAAGTCGGTTTCCATAGGAACGCATTGATTGATTTTCAATGCATTCCTATGGGAAACCGTGCTTCGCAAGACGAAAAACTCGCAAGAAGAAAAAACTTGCGGAACGAATTAATTTCGTCTTGCGAGGCACCACTGTACTACAGCTGGGGCAGGGAGCTTGGGTGTAACCTTCGACGCCTCCCTTTCCATGGAGGTGCAGATTGCAGCCACAGCAAAGGTGGCATTTTTCCATCTCCGCCGCATTAAGCAGTTGGTCCCTTACCTTTCTCGCCCTGATCTGGCCACAGTGATCCATGCGACGGTCACCTCCAGGCTGGATTATTGTAACTCACTCTACACGGGGCTGCCCTTGAAGCTGACCCAGAAACTCCAGCGGGTGCAGAATGCCGCGGCGAGGCTCCTTACGGGGTCCTTTCCACGGGATCACATTCATCCAGTGCTTTACCAACTGCACTGACTCCCGGTGGCGTACAGGGTCAGGTTTAAGGTGCTGGTTTCGACCTTTAAAGCCCTATGCGGCCTAGGACCCTCGTACCTACAGGACCGCCTCTTCTGGTATGCCCCGCAGAGGACCTTAAGGTCCACAAATAACAACACTCTGGAGGTCCCAAGTCGCAAGGTGGTTATATCAGTCTCAAGTAGGGCCAGGGCCTTTTCAGTACTGGCCCCGACTTGGTGGAACGCTCTGTCACAAGAGACTAGGGCTCTGCGGGACTTGATGTCTTTCTGCAGGGCCTGCAAGACAGAGCTGTTCTGCCTGGCCTTTGGTTTGGACTCAGTCTGACCCTTATATTTCCCTCCTCTTACAGTTTTGATCTATGGGCTACTTTTAAAATGAGGCTGCATTTTAAATTGCATTCTAACCTGTATTTTAAATTGGTTCCCCCCACCATTATGTTTTTATTGTAATTTTACTGGTGTTAGCCGCCCTGAGCCCAGCTCTGGCCAGGGAGGGTGGTGTACAAATAAAAATTATTATTATTATTCCTCCAAATGTTCCTGAACTGTCTGTGCTTTCTGAGGTTCATGGGAGTTGTAGTCCACCTACATCTGGAGGACCAGAGGTTCCCCATGCCGGCCATACAACATCTGACGGGACACAGGTTCCCCATCCCTGGTTTTAAAACATTCTAACCCTGCCTTTCGATTAAGAAAAAGTTAGGTTTTGTGGCAATAGCTTATGATTCAGAATAAATAACATGAAACAATGTCCATAAAATTGCACAGCAACTTGAGCACAGGAAATGAAGGCTACGCCTCTGGTTGAAACCCTAGAAGAGCAGGGGTGGATGGAATGTGGTTTTTCGAACTAGGCATGTTCACCACGGCTAAATGAACTTTTGCTATTTTGGCAGCCGCCTGATGGGTTTTCCAAAACTGAAACCCATGAAACTCTTCCAGATGCATGCGTGGCTTCCATTTCAAGCCACCCATTGCGGACGGGCTGCTGGCATTTCAGAAAGAGGCCCTAGGAGGCCTGGCGTAATGCAGCCTTGCTAGGTAGGGCCTCGGCCTTCTGGAGCCTTAGCTGGGTCTGCCGGAGTCTCATCGCAGGCTCAGTGAGCCCTGGTGATGGCCTTGCAGGGCAGCTGGTTACCACGGTCCCTTGGGGGTAGGTGACGAAGGTGGCAGGTAGTCATGGGCCTATTGCTACTTGGGTTGTTGTGAGGATAAAATAGAGGGGAGCATGTTCCCTGAGCTCCCTGTGTGAAAGGCACCATTAAAAATAGAATAAATAAGGTCTTCTCTCCCCCAGAGCATTATGACAACACTTTAGCCCAGGGGTCAGCAAACTTTTTCAGCAGGGGGCCGGTCCACCGTCCCTCAGACCTTGTGGGGGGCCGGACTATATTTTGAAGGGGGGAAAATGAACGAATTCCTATACCCCACAAATAACCCAGAGATGCATTTTAAATAAAAGGACACATTCTACTCATGTAAAAACACGCTGATTCCTGGACCGTCTGTGGGGCGGATTTAGAAGGCGATTGGGCCGGATCCGGCCCCTGGGCCTTAGTTTGCCTACCCGTGCTTTAACCTGTCATGGCTTTCCCCCAGAGAATCCTGGGAAGTGTAGTTTGTTAAGGGTGCTGAGAGTTGTTAGGACTCAGTGAGAAACCAATCCCAGAGTTCTTTGGGAAGAGGGATTGATTATTAAGGCACTCTGGGAATTGTAGGTATGCAAGGGGAATAGGGAGTCCCCTAACAACTCTCAGCATCCTTAACAAACTACACTTCCCAGGATTCTGTGGGGGAAGCCACGACGGGTCAAAGTGATATCATAGCGCTTGAAATGTGTTGGGGTGGATATGGCCTGTATAAAAGGTTCTATGAAGCCTCTGAAGCTTGCAGGCTTACCAGTTCTTTGCAAGTGCCCTCTGAAGGGGGCATGTTCATATCCGTGTGTGTGTCTTTGTCTTTCAACATGCAAATGCTGAATCAGCTTGGCCAGCTGCCGTGCTTCAAACTTTGCTGATTATTCACCATGATTATTCACTGCTCCTGATTTTTGTTTTGTTTCCAGTACATCTTCGTGTCCCTGATCTCCAGAGACAGTGTGTACGATGTGCTGCGGAGAGTCTGCACCCACTTGCAGGTACTTCCACTCCCTCCCTGACAGCCCTCATGGTATCACTTAAAAGAATTGGTCAGCTGCTCTCAGCAAAGGGTCAAAAGATCCAGGTTAAGGAGGAGCTCGCTTTTAAAAGCCTGTCCATTGCGATGGTCCATGGGTGTCCTGCCATTTGAGAGGTTGGTGGCAACAAGAAGGGAGAGGGTTTTCTTGGTGGTGGCACCCCCAGGTATGGAAATCTCCCCCTGCTATCCTTTCCGTTGCCAGGCAAAACCCTTCTTATTATACCATACCTTTAAAAAACCCAAAAACCATTTCTGTTATTTGATAGTTTTGGATTTACAGAGTCACTGTATATTCTGAATTGTGGTATTGTCGTTAATTTGATTTCGCAAGCAACAATTTTGTAAAAACTTAAAAAGCAAAATCAATGTTTTGTTATAAATGTTATATAGGATTCAAAATGTTACAGGATTTGAAAATAAAAGGAGAGATTACTGAGTAGGCATCACTTACTGCATGTAGCAGTCATTATAGCCATGGGATTTTAAAAAAATCTTAGACATGAGTTTCCTCATTAATGGCTTCCCCAAAATGGTTGCCCAAGGTGAGTTGCCTCTGTCTAATAGAAGGGCTAGCTTTGAAAGCATGGCACTTAATCGGTTAAAGCAGAGCTGGGGACCCTGTTGCCACAGGACACCTCCCATTATCCCTAACCATTATCCACACTGAATGGGGGGAGGTTAGCTGGGAGTCCAACAAAGATTTGAAGGCACAACTAAAGGCTGTTTTTGTCTATTTGCCACTCCTCGTAAGTTTGCATTTGTGAGCCACGTGCGTACGAGGCAGCTATCTCTCTCCATCCTGGGTAAAAAGTGGGGATCACTTTGCAGAAGCAAAAACAACTATTTTAAAACTCAGGTTTTATCCCAAGACTCTTCCCCCACTTCCCTCTCACGATACCCAGAGAGGAACACACAGAGTCCTGTAATCTTGAGAGAGAATCAGGAGTTGGTGGCGATGGCATCTTGCGGGATGCCTTAACAACCCAATGTTTGGGTTGCACTGGCCTGAAGGTCTGCTTTCGGTAGGTAACTAGGCAATTAACACTCTAAAAGCCTGTCTGATTTGTCTGGAGTACATTTCGTTCCTTGCTCGGCTGGCAGAAAGAGAGGGGGGCATTTGGCTAACATTTTGTCCTTCCCTCCTTGCTTCTTAGCCGGCCTGTCTCTCAAACGGGCACTGTGCCAGTTCCTCACTTCACAATCGGTAGTCATAGGACGTGAATTAGATAACTCTCATCACAAGCTTCAGCTGGATCTATTTCTGGCCGGTGTTGTGGCAGAGGAGCAGATCATCTTACTGGGATCTTAGGATCAGCCCCCTGCCCTGAGCTCCTCCCAAGCAGTCCTAGGGTGTTTTTGTTCAGGGAAAGCTCTACTTTTGTTTGTCTGGATGCGGCTTTTGTTTTGAGGTTTTCTTGAAATACAGCCAGGCCTTTCATGACTACAAAAGCATGCTAGCTGGGCAACAGAACGCACGGGAGACACTTTTAAACGCCTTCTGAAGGACAAATATTACTTTTCCAACTTTGCCCTTGATGGCCATGTGAGTGCATGGAATTGTCATGTTGTAAACAAAATCTGCCCTTTTCCCCTTATGGGGTATCCAGGAGCCCGTATAGAGTCCTTACGTGGGTTCCTTATTGGTAGGAGGAAATAACAGAGGCCAACCAGAGAATATTGAGAAGCAAAGCAGCTACTAAGCCTGATCTTTATTAAAGCTGTTGCAACAGGGTGTTCCCCTCATATGCAGGAGGACGGAGGAGGACCCAGAACCAAAGTGTGTCTGCCCGTATATAGACATTTTAAATTTCCTGTCCTGGAGCTCAAGACCACCCCTCCATACATCATACATACATCACAGAAGGAGTGTAACCCAAGACCACCCCCCACAAACATCATACCTTCATCACAGAAAAGGTGGTCTACAACAGAAATTTGAATGTTGTTCTTTTTCCTGTCTGCCAGGTTATCTGATAATGCCTTATCTGATTGCCTTTCCTGGTAGTCTGCCCATTCCTTTGAAATGGTGACTACCCAATTCCTGCCCTCCCTCCTTGCAGAGAAAACATTTGGTCAGTTTGGGAATCAAAAAGGTTTCAGGACAGTCTTCCTGTGCTGCTCCAGACATGTGGTCCACATATCTATGTTTGTGCTTGGCTGGTACATTTACGAACATTTATTACATATATTTATTACGTACATAAGACCTTAAATTTATTATTTTGTTTACAACAGTCAAACCACCAGACCACCTTTGGCCCCACCCACATCACCCATTTAAAGCACATGACTCCCCCCCAAAGAATCTTGGGAGCTGTAGTTTGCTAAGGGTGCTGCGTCTTGCAGCTCCGTGAGGGGCAAATTACAGTTCCAGGGATTATTTGGGGGAAGCCGGGTGTGGATGGAACCACAGGCTGTGCGTGGCAGTGGCTTTCTGGGGTCTTATGAAAAGGGGGTTCCGATTATCTGGTCCTCCTAACTCAGGAATGGGGAACCCTTTTCAGCCATTTTTTGCCTCGTGGACATTCGGGGGGGCATAGGAGCCAATTCCTAGGAGCCAAGGTCCCTTTGGGCCCCCCAATAAAAGATTTGAGGGGGTTGCCCCCCAAGTTAATTGCCATAGCCATTCAAATGGTTTGTGTGGCCAGAGGCAGAAGTGGGTGGAGCAACCAATTCATTGCAGCACCTTGTAGAGCAGCCAAGCACTGCAGCTACAGGAATAAGTCAGATTTCGGCTCACACACGCCCTCTCTCCAGAGGCATAGCTCAAGGATCCATGTCAGCCAGGAAACAGCGCTCAGGAAAGTCATGGTGCAGGGCTGGGAGAGGTGTGGCCGGCGAAGGGTGCTTGCGATCTGAGGAGAGCCCTGAGGGCCACATGGAGAGGCCTGGAGGGCCACATTAGGTCACCTTGCTGGAGTGCATGTGCTCTGCCACTGAGCTATGGACCTCTCAGTTCAGGAGCTCAGCATGGCTTTCTTTCAATTATTTCTTACAGGATTTTTGGTGCAGAGACCAGTTAAAAGACAAAAAAGTATAACTCAAAACAAAGGCAACTTTCCATGACTTTCCTTTAAGAAACAACGAGGACTTTGGTCAAGCCTGCTAGATACTGTGCCGTGAAATAGTTTGTACCCCTCGTTTAAGCTAGACAGACCCGTTCTGAAGTTACCGGTCCTATTCAATGATACGCCTGGGAATTAAATCAGTATTTGAGGTGGTTTCATCTGGTGCATGTGTGGAATGGCAGCTTTGAGAGCGGGGTGATTTTGGGCAGGGAAATAGGACAGAGGGAAAAGTCAACCCTCCCTCCATCTCTCTGGTCCTGATCTGGATCAGCTCTCCCTGGTTGCTAATATTAAAAAGAAGGGCAATAATGAGAGATATGATGTCGAGGTTTATCACAAGACAGAAGTACTGTTTTGGGGGGACAGGGCGGGCGGGTGTGGGGGACTCCCTGGTCCTGAATGGGGTAACTGTGCCCCTGAAGGACCAGGTGCGCAGCCTGGGAGTCATTCTGAACTCACAGCTGTCCATGGAGGTGCAGGTTAATTCTGTGTTCAAGGCGGCTGTCTACCAGCTCCATCTGGTACGCAGGCTAAGACCCTACCTGCCCACAGACTGTCTCGCTAGAGTGGTGCATGCTCTGGTTATCTCCCGCTTGGACTACTGCATGCGTGGGGCTACCTTTGAAGGTGACCTGGAAACTGCAATTAATCTAGAATGTGACAGGTAGACTGGTGACTGGGAGCGGCCGCCGGGACCACATAACACCAGTCCTGAGAGATCTGCATTGGCTCCCAGTACGTTTCTGAGCACTATTCAAAGTGATGGTGCTGACCTTTAAAGCCCTAAACGGCCTCGGTCCTGTATACCTGAAGGAGCGTCTCCACCCCCATCGACACTGAGATCCAGCGCCGAGGGCCTTCTGGCGGTTCCCTCATTGCGAGAAGTGAGGTTACAGGGAACCAGACAGAGGGCCTTCTCGGTAGTGGCGCCCACTCTATGGAACACTTTCCCTTCAGATGTGAAGGAAATAAGCAGTTATCCTATCTTTAAAAGACATCTGAAGGCAGCCCTGTTTAGGGAAGTTTTTAATATTTAATGCTGTACTGTTTTTAACATTTGATTGGGAGCCGCCCAGAGTGGCTGGGGAGACTCAGCCAGATGGGCGGGGTATAAATAATAAATTATTATTATTATTATTATTATTATTATTATTATTATTATTATTATTATTTATATCATTGCAGCTAGAGAACTAGCAGTGTTCACTCGCACTGCTTTCTGGGCCAGGTTTATTACATACACAATATAGTCTGTAGGCGCAGCACAGCCTTGAGTGCGGAAGGGGAATGATACTGGTATTTTCCCAATGTGGCTAATAGTTAAAATGCTACGAGTCTTAAGAGAGAGATTTGGGGTTAGGTCATGACAAGAGTCTTACAGTCCCTGAGAACTGGTGATGCAGTCCAGGCTGCTCAGTCAGCTCTTGGGGGCAGAGGGAGTCACTGAAGCTTCAGGATCCAACCCACGAGGAACTGCCCTTCAGTTGGTTTGCACATCCTTCCAGAGACCCTTAAAGCGAGTGGCGCCTCCGTAGAGAAACTCACCTGTTAATGCCTCATTCTCTCTGCAGGTCTCAAGCAAAAAGAGCCTGAGCTTGAAGGAACTGACTGAAGAGCCTGACACGGTTTCACTGGTAAGATGTTCTCTTGAATCCCCACTATGGTGATGAGCTCCTGTTGCTCTGTCCCAGCTCCTGCCAACCTAGCAGTTTGAAAGCATGCCAGTGCAAGTAGATAAATAGGTACCACTACAGTGGGAAGGTAAACGGCCTTTCCATGTGCTCTGGCTTCCATCTCAGTGTCCCGTTGCGCCAGAAGCGGTTTAGTCATGCTGGCCACATGACCCGGAAAGCTGTCTGTGGACAAACGCTGGCTCCCTCAGCCTGAAAGTGAGATGAGCTCTGCACCCCATAGTCGCCTTTGACTGGACTTAACTTTCCAGGGATCCTCTACCTCAGGGGTCAGCAACCTTTTTCAGCAGTGGGCCGGTCCACTGTCCCTCAGACCATGTGGTGGGCCAGACAATTTTTTTGGGGGGGGGGGAATGAACGAATTCCTATGCCCCACAAATAACCCAGAGATGCATTTTAAATAAAAGCACACATTCTACTCATGTAAAATCACACTGATTCCCAGACCGTCCATGAGCCGGATTGAGAAGGCGTTTGGGCCGCATCCGGCCCACGGACCTTAGGTTGCCTACCCCTGCTCTACCTTTACCTAGGTCCAAACCATACCATACCACGATATATACTATCAAGACATACTATCTGGATATATTAAGAATATTTAGGATGGTATTCAATGCTAGTCCTATTCAGAACAGACCCACTGAAGTTAGTGAACAAGCCTATCTTAGCTCCATTAATTTCAATGGGTCTGCTCTTGAGTAGGAACAACATGGGATTATGACCCATACTGTCTGGGTATGCTGTATATATACGTTATGAGTTGTATCCAATGCAGTGCTAAGTTAAATATACTGAGCCGTATCCAGCATTAGTATTACTCGGCGTAGAATCATTGAAATAAACGGGCATAATTAACATAGACCTATTGATTTCAGTGGGTCTCCTTTGAGTAGAATTTTAGTTGGCTGCAACCCAATTAGTAGCATACTTGTTTTGCACAGGTGAGCCTGCCGATATCTGCTATCTCTTAACCACGTTTATTGGCATAAATGATAACTACTAAAGCCGGGACAATGCTTGGCTAACTGCGTTGCCTCAAAGTACTGAAGGGCACCTTCTTTAAGGGATTGAATTTGGGACTACCTGCATGCAAAACTGGTGCTCTGCCACTGAGCGATGACTTCTCCCCGGAGGAGAAGCCTCCCAATGTCCAGGAGGGGGCAGTGTTGAACTGGGAAGAACTAGCCTAGCAGGCTTAGTTGACAAAGCTCTTGCTGTGTTAGCTCTGCCTGTAGGTTGACACTGCAGTGAAAGATCGTGGCTCCTTCCTGCAGCCAACTAACCTGCATTCCATGCCTTCCACAGGAGGTGATTGTCCCAGAAGTGAAGTGGAGGAAGGGCTCGCCGGCTTCGTTGTCCCTGGCCCTCCCAGATGCAGGCTTCCAGTGCATCCACCGGGCTTCTATCAGCAGCCTCAGCACAAAGGAGAGCTCTTGTAACTCGGAGGAGCCCCTAGTATCAGGTACGGGGCAGCAGGAGTCTGGGGAAAGACCCTTGGTGCCGCTGCATGTTTTTTGTCTGGCACCTGCGGACTCTCTTTTTTTATTTTTTATTTATTCAAAATTATAACAAGACATATTATCCAAAAAATATTATCATCCTTGTCCCCCCCCCCCATTTTTCCTCCCCCCCCTCCCACACAAAGCCCATCCACCCCCACCCCACACCCCGACTTCCCTCAGTTCCAGTCTTTGGTTTCTCCAAGAATGCTGTTTCCTGCATGTTACAAAGTTGTATAGATCCTCAAACTATTTAGCTGATTATTATCAAGAAAAAGTTTGTGAATGTTTATTCAAAACCTGCCAAGGAGTCCAGTTCGCTTTGTTGCATCTTCAGAATACTTTGTAAAGGGTTCCCATTCATCCTTAAAGTCACAGTTATCCTTGTCCCGTAGCTTATATGTCAGTTTTGCCAGTTCTGCATAGTCCATCAATTTTTCTTGCCATGATTCTTTAGTTGGGGTTTCTTCAGTCTTCCATCCTTGTGCTACCAGAACTCTCGTGGCTGTTGTCGCATACATGAAGATGTTTTTCAGCTTTTTTGGCAGGTCTTTCCCTACAATCCCCAACAAAAATGGCTCCGGTTTATTAACAAATGTTAAATGGAACATTTTCTTCAATTCGTTGTCTATCATTTCCCAATTTTTTTTAATTACCTTACAATCCCAGCACATATGATAAAATGTCCCCTCCTTTTCCTTACACTTCCAACATATATTTGAACTAGTTTTGTACATTTCCCCTAACTGCACTGGTGTTGTGTACCATCTGTACATCATCTTCATGTAAATCTCCTTCAATAGGGAACAATCTGCAGACTCTCAGGCAGAGCTTCCTTTGCCCTGCCTGATCTAACAGCTGTCCTGGCAGCAGCACCGACTGTTCAGCTGTCCCAAGGACATAAGCTGCATCTCAATTGCCCCATGTAATCTCCGTCATGCCAGCCGCCCCATCACGTCCCTCCTGAGTGCATCCATGTGTCGGCTGTGCACAGATGGCCATGCTCTTTGTTCATGCTCTTCTTTTCCATTTCGCTTCAGACGCCCGGGGCAGTTCATCCCGTCAGCGGCCGCATGGATGCAAACAAACACCATTTCCTTCTCAGAATTCTTGTACGAAACTTTGTTTTAGAGGGCGGGTTGTTACTATCCAAAAACATATAGCCTTCATGTGGGACTTATTTGCGCTTTCTGAAGCCCTAGTGACCTTTGCCCGACAGTAGGGACGGCTGCCATCTCTTTGCTGCTGGGTACCCCACAAAGCAGCCTTTTCCACCAGGGCAGAAGCGCCAGTTGCAAATAGGAGTTTCTACCCAGGCGCAAATGCAGTAGTCGGCTTTAAGTCTCTGTGCTGTGTTCTTAGTTGTGTGTAGCTGAGCTGCAAATGCACCCCTTGGATCCACCAGGAGCTGTGCACTCAGTATTGTGGGCCCAATTTTATGCAACCCCCTTTTATTGTTATAGGTAGCTTTTTAAATTTCATCTCTAAAATATTTTTGTCCCGTGTCCATGTCGTTCTAAGGAAAGCAGCAAGGCAGTATTAACTGCTTGTTGAAGGAGGTGCGCTGCGGCAACGAAAATTCAAATATTTGCTAGCACATTTTGATTGGCTTTTTAATATTCTGGTCCTGCATATATAAGCAAATCCTTGTCTGAAAGATAGGATTTAATCTAATTAATCTCTACCTTCTGTATCGCTCAATGTGTAACCAAAACCATGCGATGGGTATTCTAACCGCTGCTTTATCCAATCTTTAATTTGGTGAACCTCCACACACTTCCATGCGTGTGTGAAACTAGCCCACTGGTGGACTGCTTGCGATTTCATTTGGCTATAGTTAAAAAAAAATTCTGAAAAGAAACCTCTCTTCGAAAGCACACCAGTGCAAGTAGATAAATAGGTACTGCTGTGGCAGGAAAGTAAATGGCGTTTCCATGCACTCTGGTTTCTGTCATGGTGTCCCATTGCACCAGAAGCGGCTTAGTCTTGCTGGCCATATGACCAAGAAGGCTGTCTATGGACAAACGCCGACTCCCTCGGTCTGAAAGTGAGATGAGCGCCACAACCCCATAATCGCTTTTGACTGGATGTAACTGTCCAGGGGTCCTTTACCTTTTACCTTACTATTATTCAACAAAAATATTTCCCCAGATCTCAAGTGTCTCCTAACCTTCCAAAGCAGATGTTGCAGGGGCATAGAAGGCATAAAGGTTGGAGAGAATAGCCCTATTGGGCTAGGGCAGAGATGGTGAGTTTTTGCCCTGTCCCCACATCAGATGTTGCTGAACTACAACTCCCATCATCCCAGGCCCTAGGCCATGCTTGCTGGGGCTGATGGGAATTGTAGTCCAAGAACCTGGGGGGCTAAAATGTTCCCCAGCACTGTGCTAGCAGATGCCCACTCACACTGCGTTGGATCTCACCCTGTATATGTGTGTGTGTGTGTTTGCATTATATATAGTTTTAATATTCGAGTGCCTGATGCCTTTTATATTCTTATTCCAGAAAGTGCAATAAACACTGAAGAGGAGTTGGAGGTGGAGCAGAGCTACCAAGCAGAGTTGAGGCCATCTGATTATCAGCTGCTGAAAATCTTCATTGTCTTGTAAGCCTGCAGGCACGCCCCCCCCCCAATTCCTATCCTATCTCCGGGTTGGTTTTCTGACTCTGAGCTCAACGGTGCCTCTCCGTTTTGTCTCTGCTTCCTCAGGATCTGCCTCCTGGTGGTCTCCTCCTCCTACCTGGCTTTTCGCATCTTCCGCCTGGAGCAGCAGCTCTGCTCTTTGAACCGGGACTATCTCTCGCGTGTGCCCCGGAGGTAGGAGAGCCTTCCGAAGCCCAGCAAGTGTCTGCAGAGGAGCCCTTTCTCGGGGTCTGGAAGATGGGATGGATAACTTTCTGTTCTCATTATGCCAATATTGAAAGATGCCCTTGGTCGCCACATGAGGCAGGGATGGGGACCCTGCAGGGGTGGTCTGGATGCTTTTGGACTTCAGCTGCCATCATGGCATGGCCAGTGGTCAGGGATGAGGGGAGATGAAGTCCAGCGACGGGTCTGGAGGGCCCTGCAGGCTTTCTATTTCTGCTATAAGCAAAGGTTCAGCATTGCTTAATGCAGCTTGTGTAAAAAGGTAAAGGTAAAGGGACCCCTGACCATTAGGTCCAGTCGTGACCGACTCTGGGGTTGCGGCGCTCATCTCACTTTACTGGCCGAGGGAGCCGGCGTACAGCTTCCGGGTCATGTGGCCAGCATGACTAAGCCGCTTCTGGCGAACCAGAGCAGCGCACGGAAACGCCGTTTACCTTCCTGCCGGAGCGGTACCTATTTATCTACTTGCACTTTGACGTGCTTTTGAACTGCTAGGTTGGCAGGAGCAGGGACCGAGCAATGGGAGCTCACCCCGTCGCGGAGATTCGAACCACCGACCTTCTGATCGGCAAGTCCTAGGCTCTGTGGTTTAACCCACAGCGCCACCCGCGCCCTTCTCTCCTTTTTAAGGGCCGATTGACACCAGCTTTAGTGGCGGCAAAGCATGGCCTGTGGCCAGTGTTGTTACTACTACTACTACTACTACTACTACTACTACTACTACTAGTTGGTGACTTGTGGAAGCCCCATGTTGGGCAAAAGATCCCTGCATTCCAGTGGGTTGGACTATATGGCCCTTGCGGTCCCTTCCAACTCTACAATTCTATGATTCTGTTTCTGTTAGACTGCTTCTAAAAATCCCAATTCTGCAGTTAGAATATCCCAGTCCTTGGCTGGAATAAATTGTGCACATTTCATTGAATGTTTACTTGATTCCTGCTCCTGCCACTGCCAAAAGGCAATTCTGCATCTGGACTTGTTTCCTTTTATGGACTGGGATGTGGGTGGTATCATATTCCTCGAGGTGGGAGCACAGATGTTAGGCATGGACAAAGACTTGAGTTGTACTAAGTTGAGATGATTACTGGAATTTCCCTCTCTCCCCCCCAAGTGAGCTTTAGTTCCCTTAAATGTATATCATTAATTGCCTTAAAAAGGTCCTTTGACTTGAGTCATTAACCCTGGAACTTTCTTTTAATGCACATGCGTCCATGCCGGACTGGTCCAAAATATTTTTGCTGCAGAGGTGGAGCAACAAATTGTGACATATCTCCCCTGTTCCCACTCCCGAGTTAAGGTGCAGAGAACTCAAGGCCAGCCAAGTTGGCACCTTTTAGGTATTGCTGTTGTCTTGTGGTCTTGCAAACCACCTTGATTTTGCTCTGAAATGAAGGGCACTGTACAAATAACTGAAGTAAATGAGCAAGTGATGCCATAGGCACCTCTTCCTTCTTCGTAGCAGTAAAAATGCAATAGTAAAAAATTAAGTAACTAACAGCTTGATGCCTTTTCATGGTGGCTCGCATCAGCTTCATTAAGCAGACACTTCACCCTGCCTAATATTAGGGCCGGCCCCGAACACACACAAACAAGGAGCTGCATTAAATCAGGAGAAGTTCTCTTGCCATTTGTGGGGCAGTCAGGTTTCCCATAGGATTGGTTCAGAGCCTGCTAACAATGGCCTCTTTGTTTGTTTCTGACAGGTGACTGTGGGCTCAATAAAGACAACAATGGAGAAAACAGCACCCGCAAACATAGATCTGTGCTGCGTCCAAGGAGTTAACACGACTGCTGTGAAGCCAGAGCAAATGAGCCCCATGCTCTGTGCTCCTCCTGGACCAAAGCTCTCTGCTTCCAGTGGCGAAATCTAGAAGTGCTTTCCTGCCGTCAGCAACCCATTGGGACGCTTGGCCAACAGTAGCCAATGCAGCAGCTTCCAGATGTTGTTGGGCGATGACGTCCATCGTCCCTGGCTGTTGGCGGGAGTCCAGCAACATCTAGAGGGGACCCTGCGGCTGCCGAACTGGCTGTACATGGGCAGTAGTGGTGCTTGTGAGAGTAGCCAAGCGTTGCCAGTGCAATAGTGTCTCCATTGATGGTGTCTCTGGCCATACCTTCCAAAGGCTCTTCAGCCACTGAAGACGTTGGGTAGCTTGCTCTCTAGAGCTGCAAGAAAATTTGGAACTGCAGGGCTTCCTCTGAGGCTCCCCTTTGTATTTCAAAACTGCAATGTCTTCCCGGGGCTTTGCTCCAGAAGGGCTGACTGTTACCACCAGCTAACTGTTGCGGCTGGTCCTCTTTCGCATCCTAATGCATCCTAGCAAGGTCTGAAGAAGTAGCTGGGTTCTCTTCTAGGAGGACTATGGACTGCTGCTAGTTCTCGCTGCTTTTTTCCCCCTGGACGAAAGAAAGTTGGTGTTGGGTTTTTTTTGCTGCAGCGAAAAGCTCTGCCTTGGAAGGAAGATGGAAGTATCCTTTGCCCAGGGCAGTGAAATCATCTCCATTAGAATCCATCTTCTTGCACTAACAGGATTCCTGTTGTCCAGGGAAAGCTGCTGGAGCAATTCTTGTGGCCCTGCAAAATTGCTGTAACCGCTGCAGCAACGTTCAGCTAAGGGACCCTGTGAACTGCCAGGCAGGCCCTGAACACTCATGGAAAGACGCCACGGGTATGCACTTTCTGGGGACAGATATGACTTAGTGGTGCATGTGGCCCTTGAAGCACTTTACGTGGGTCTGCCCCACTTAACCCAAGGGCTTTGCAGCTTGGCACTGACATGAGGAAGCAGAGACAGGGGGCTTGGCTGGGGTAAAGCAAGCTGATCGCTCCATTTCTTTGTTGTTGGGGAGGTTTTTGGCCCTTTGCAGATGCGCCAGCTCTCTCCTCGGAAGCAGGTGGAGCCAAGGCCATGCCCGTCATTCCGTCATTCTGCAGCACAGCAACACAAGGCAGCTCTCTGACCCCCAAGCCCTTGAGAGGCCATTTCATATGCAGGCTTGGAATCAGCCATCTGCATCCCTAGCCATGGAAGCCTTGAATGGCTTGTATAGATGACTTGGGCTGTGGTTGGGGGCAGGGGGAGAGGGTTTGTCTGCTCCCGTCAGTGCTACTGCCCTGGACAAACTGGGAGAGTTGGCCAAGGGTAGAACCATGGAGGCAGAAATCCAGGGAGCAGTTAAGAACATCGGAAGAACCCTGATGGGTAACTGTGAGAAGCCCCACTGGATCACCGAGAAGCCAGGATCCTGGCCCGTGAGAGTGAGGACTATGCTGAAGAAGCTGGTTGTCTTCGCAAGCAAAGTTCTCCAAGGTGGACTTGAGGCCGCATGAAAAACGCCTCTCCAGCACAGACTGAATGATTGAACGAGTGTGTGAGCTAGTGTGTGGCCTTTGAATACAGAGCAAGCAGACCACTTTGGGAATGGTCCCTTTCAGGAGGAAGTGGGCCCTGCCTGTGGGACGTTAAGGGATCTGGGACCCTCTTGGGGTTTAAGGGCGATGCTTTTCAAACTTCCTGCTTTGTGGGAACCCTTTCCTTGTGGTCTGGTCTGCCGGGAACGTTCCTTCACATCTTCCAGTGGACCACTTTGAGTGTCATGTAAAGATTTCAGCGCATGTTCCTGGGTATAAAGTCATCTCGGGTGACATGTCCTGGTCTCAGGGCTCAGTGTGGCGACTGTGCAGCAAGCCAGAGGAGCTGCTTGGGGAGGGGGCAGAATTTAGCTGGGGGTGGGGTAGATGGAGGCAGGGTGGCGTGTTGGCCCTTTGTGTTTGGTGCTCTGCTTCAGATAGCAACATCTTGGAATTGCACCAGGAAATTGCACCCACGTGCCAGCATCTTGCAGGGAAAGGAAGGCCATCCTCTAGCTACGCTTGATCATCTTATTTAGGCAACGCCTGGGTCCCTCAGCACACAGTTTGAAAAGTATTGCATTAAAGAAACATGTTCTTATACCTAGGGACGGTTCCAGGTTTGAAAGGGCTGCATTCTGATGGGAGCCCCCCACATCTGACAGGGGGACTACTGGCAGTCCTAGGCCACATCCGCACCAAATACTTTTCAGAACTATGATAGCAGTTGTGGCTTCCCCCAAAGAATCCTGGGAACTGTAGTTTGAGCACTAGAATAGGACTAAGGCCCCTCCTTCCTCTCATAGAGTTACTGTTCTTAAGAGCTGTTTAACAATCCCTTTCCCCTAGGAATTCTGGGTAATTGTAACTCTGCGAGGGGAACAGGGTTCTCCCGACAACTTTCAGCACCCTTAACCAACCCCAGTTCCCATGTTCCTTTAGGGAGGAATCCTATAAAGTGGTATGAAAGTGCTTTACATGTGTGGTGCAGATGTAAAGGGCCCGAGTGGGTTTATCTGGCTGTGGCGGTTCTTGGATCAGTGACAGAGGCTGGGCCGGCACCTCTGGAAGACGCTGTCGAAATTTCCCAGAATGCCCTGGGGTGACACCGTTGTATGTATTTTCGTGAGTGTGTCTGTGGGAAATGGAAGCTTTCATACAGTGCTGACCTGATGACTAGGGATTTTTTTGGTGGGGGGCCAGGGCAGGTATTGTAATTTCTGCAGCTCCAGGACTGCTTGAATGAGCAAGAATGGAGGGTTCAGGAGGCCCAGCAGGTCTGGCTGTGGCATGTCATTTTGAAGAAGCACACCCCGTCTGTGTTCTCCTCTTCTTTCCCTGCTCCCAGTGCCAGAAGTTTACTGGGCTGCTGGACAGCCAGTTGACTTCTTTCTTAGCAATAACGTCTCAGGTGTTCCTCTTCTTTTTAATCAGATCTCCCATCTCGTGGGAGGTAAATGTAATATTTGTGCTGATTATGATGATGATTACTATTTTGGAAGGAGCTGCTAAGGCAAAGTCCTTTTGTTTACTGGAGAGTTGTCTTGGCTGTGGGGTCCTGGTGCTCTCGGCAGTGGGCACCACAAGGTGTGTTTGTGTGTCCAGAATCTGAGGGGCAGGTGGAGCAAGCAGGACTAGGAAGTGCCAAGGAAACCCCAATTTCTAGCAAGGTGGTTGTGCGCTGCATTTTCTATCACTTCCTGCAAGTCTGTGCTCGAGCATAATGGTTCAGAGCATGAGCTATGAGCCAGAAGGCCCCAGTTCAAATCTCAGCCGAGCTACGAATTTGCTGGTTGGCCTTTGGTGAGCTGCTGTCTCTCAGTTCTTGGGAGCCCTCTTTCTTTTCTCTAATTTTGGGAATAACAGTACTGGCCTACCTTACAGGGATGTTGTAAGGATTTCAAGGTAATGTAAAGCGCTTTGAAAAAGCGCTCTATAAATACTAAGTATTATCATTAGTGTTATTCAGTGTAAGCAACGATTCTATTTTTCCTTGTCCTTTCCTTTTCTAAAGTTCAGAACAATTGCACAAATATCCTACAAGCTTGTTGTTTTCTGGCTTTGTTGTCCTGTAAGTGACATGTGTTCATAGTTGTGGGAGGATATAAACACCAGCAGAGGTACAGCAGAACTTGAAGCCTCTTTAATCCCCTTGGAATTCTCTTTAAGGCAGTGGTAGGGAATATGTGGTATTGTTGGGACTACAACTCCCATAAGCCTCTGCCAGCAAGGGATGATGGGAGTTGAACATCTGAAGAACAGATCCTTGGCCAGCAATGAAAGTGTTAAGCACATACACATGCACACCTCCTCCTGTTTCTTTTACCCTTCTGGACACAGCAGCTTTTCCTGCTTTAAAAAAGTACCCCATGTTACACAAGTTACTTCAGTTGCAGACGACTCGTTTATTTATCATCAATCCTTACTTGTTTGCACAAAGTCGGCAGGGTACACCCCGGCCGTTTATTGAGCTTTCATTCTGATTCACGTGTGGGGAAGGTGATGCCACGAGTCACATCAAGCGATTGCCATTCCACACACTTCGTGCCTTTTTGAGTCACTTTCCTTTACAGCAAAAAAAGAAAAAAAGTGTTGTTTTTGTTAGTAGGTGTGTTGCACAAGATTGCCAAACCCACTTTAATCACATAACCAGAATTTCCTGGCGTGTGATTTAATCCCACCTGCAAAAGAGCAACATCTGGAAGCACCTGCAAGCCTGCCTACGCTGTCTGATTTGGCCCTGCAAGAAAATAGGGAGTTTCTCGGCAGTATCCAGGCACATAGAACAAAGCTTGAAGGGTGTCTGGCAAAATTCACCTGGCTGCACAATGAGACTCTGATTTGCCCACACCTCCACAGCCCAGATTTCTGATTTGATCACAAAAGATAATGCGACCTTACTATGGGCCAGCTTCTACTGTTGACTAGCTTATTCACAGAGTTGCAGGCCCAGATGTCCGTCATGGCACCAGCCATAACCTGAATCCACCTGTTCTATTAATGGAAAGAGTGAGGCTGCTGAGAAATGCCCCAAAGGTTGAATTATCTGAATTGATCCCAGAGGCACAGAATTGCTCTAGGCAAGGAACGGACATCTGCTTGGTTGTCACAGAGCAGGCATGTTGCACTTACAAGCCTTCCAAGTATGGTTTGACGAAAAAGTCCCGTTCTCCCTCACCAGTGGATATTGGTGGCTGGAAGCTGACGTCCAGTCCCATCTGGAGGGCCACAGGTTCTACATCCTGGAAGAGCACAGGAGTTAGGCTTTCCTGATTTCAGCTGCCATTTGCAGAGCTGTGATCATGGCGCTGCTTTTGCTAAGGCAGGAGGGAAATGTACAGTCAAAGGTCTGTGTTGGTTTCCCAAGCCTGTGTGCACGCAGCTAATTCCATTTTAACGGCTTGAACACACAGCTGTCGGGAGTTCAGGAGTTCACATTTCAGCTGTTGAGAGCTGAAGTGTTGAGATTCTCTTGTGGGGACGAGCCAGGAACCTCTGCCACCCAAGGCCAGGAGAAACAGCCCTTTAGTGTTTTGTAAATCCTTTTTCGCATGTGCCACGTTCCCATCGAGGCAGAGGCATCACGGATCAGCTATGCTTGAATGGGACACATGCCGAGCAGTCTGCCACTACAAGCTATGCATATTTGGACAAAGTATTTCGGATGTAGGGCAGAATGAATGCTGCTGTGAATTGTGGCAGTGCTGGCTTTCGCAGCAATGCAAGTTTGATGCTGAATACTCCGACCTCTGCCTCTTGCACAGTGTGCTACTGATGCATTTTTGCAACAGTGGCTGACTCTCCAGTGTGATTCTCCTGAAGGATAAAGGTGTTGTCTCGTCCAACCTTGACTTCAGATTCTATGCTGCAACTTGGCAGTGTGGGGTAAACCACCTCACCAATATCTTAAAAAGTATTGATGTCCTCAAATGTCTGCAGTGCTTTTGGGTTGCCAAATATTAAAATGCAGGCAGTGTTTTTTTGTTTTTTAAACTGAATGTTATAGCTGAAATTGCTTTGCCTTCCAGCCTGGTGATCCACAGGTCCCTTTGCCCCTCCATTTCTTTGCATGCTTAAAAGGTAAAGGTAAAGGGACCCCTGACCATTAGGTCCAGTTGTGGCCGACTCTGGGGTTGCGGCGCTCATCTCGCTTTATTGGCTGAGGGAGGCAGCGTACAGCTTCTGGGTCATGTGGCCAGCCTGACTTAAGCCGCTTCTGGCTAACCAGAGCAGCGCACGGAAACGCCGTTTACCTTCCCGCTGGAGCGGTACCTATTTATCTACTTGCACTTTGGTGTGCTTTCGAACTGCTAGGTTGGCAGGAGCAGGGACAGAACAACGAGCGCTCACCCCTTCGCAGGGATTCGAACCGCGACCTTCTGATTGGCAAGTCCTAGGCTCTGTGGTTTAACCCACAGCACCACCCGCGTCCCTTTGCATGCTTAGGATGCAGCAATTATGTTCTGCAGAAGAAAAATGTGAATAACGGAGACAATTGAGAAATCATGGCCCTCCAGAGGATGCTGGACTCCATCAACCCCAGACAGCATGGCCAGTAGCCAGGCGTGATGAGAGTTGAGAGTCCAACATCTGGAAGGCTGCAGGTTCCCCATCTCTTGTCTTAAAAGTACAGGCACACTGGCTTGACATATGACAACCTTCTGCAAGAAGTGGGTCCTTTGCCAAGCTACAAGCCTAGGAGAAGCTAGCCCATGTGACCAACTTCTAGTGAGGACTACGACAGAACTCTCCTAAGCTGACTGATTCTCCTGAGGAGTTTTGGGGGGCCTGTCTGGTGCTCCTCCGCCAAACAGGAAAGCTGCCCTCTGGGCATTTCCCGATTTGTCTGCACCAAACCCCTAGGCCTTGGCCTTGTGGCTTAATCAGCTTGGTTTTTGCTGGGGGAGAACTGTAGGTTACGACTTCTGAGGTTCCGCAATTGCAACGAGGACAGATTAACAGCATCCTCTCCTCCTGCTACTTCAGTGCCAAGCAGCTGCTGAGCTTTCTGACCCCATTCTGAAAAGCTCCCGTGTTTGTGAAATTACAACCTGGTAACATCTGCTGCCTTGTTGCGGTGGTGGGTGGGGAGGGGCTTGCCCGGATGGTGGAGCTGAGAAAGGGCTCAGGGCACTTAGCAATATTTCATAGAATTGTAGAGTTCCCTTCCAGGCTTATGTTTGAAGTGGAGAAGGTTTCCTCCAGATTATTCAGTGCCACGGAAATGAATGTCCTCCACTGTAAAGGGCAGCATGGGAACCTCTCCCCCCTCTCCCCCAAGTATTTCCATGTTTGTTCACAGAAATACTTCCATAATCCTCTTATTCTAGTTTAATCACTACATAGTCTGTGGTAGCAATTGCAGAGATTAGAACTGTCACTCTGCTGTTTACTCGTTCTTTCAAAGGAAGGCTGCATTTGTCAGAGGATCCAGCCAAATATAAGGACTTGGCTGTGTATCACTTACATAGGGATGAGCGGGGAACCTGTGGCTGTCCTGGTGTTTGTTGGACATGAGCTCCCATCAGCCCCAGCTAGGGTGGCCAATGGTCCATCAACATTCTGGCTACTCCTCAGTTAAATAACCTGTTGCCTTTCAGCATGGTTACAACTCCAGATGTTGCCCAGCATTTGTCATGCTTAAGGGGTCTAGAAGCTCCCATGTGTGTCTTGCTTCCCACAACCATCTACTGTCTAATATAGCAGAGCCTGACAGTTAAGAGAAGAGGAAGCCGCCCCTGGGCTTCAGAAGAAGAAGAAGAATGCCTGCTGCTTGTTTTCTCAGGATGCTTATGAACCAGCCGTGTTCCTCCAGGGTTCCTGATCTGTGCCATTTTGTGTGTTGGCTACGGGGCATTTCCAGGGGGAATAGATTGCACTCGCTTCCTGGAGGGTGTAATACTGTTTCAAATAAAAAGAGCCAGACAAGCAGCTGTTTTTTTCACTGTGCTGCAACACTTATGCTGTACAAACTAAGGTTAATAATGCTGGATGCTACCATCTCATGTGTGAATGATACACATCCTAATCTCCTGCAGTCCCTTCTTGCCTTGAAGACTTTGCAGCAATTCAACAGGATTCTGCAAAGCAAGGGCTTTGGTGCTTAAAGCATGAGGGGGGGGGGGTAAACCTCTCTGATTGTTACTAATATCAGGGACCATTGTTGATTTCTCATTTTCCTTCCCTGATAAACCACTGTCCGTGTTTTTGGTTTTGGGGAGTGACGTGTTAAAATGTTGATAGCGCACAATGCTAACACTGAGTTGTATCCAAGGTTTTTCATACTCAGAGAAGACCAATTACAATCAATGGGCATGACTCATTTAGGTCCATCCAGTTCCATGGGTCTGAGTAGAACTTAGCTGGATACAACCAATTGCTATTTTTCAGGCTTCAGCTCTCTCCTCAGGGTCTCTACAACACCTTTTAAATCTCCGTTTGAAAGATCCCATGAGCAAAACACTCCCTGGAAATGAAAAGGCAGTCAGCTTAAAATGCCTCTTACCACTTACCCTTAAGAGCCCCCCCTTCACTGCCTCTGTATTCTGGGGTGCTAAAATCTCAGAAGCACTGGGAGACTTGCCTCCCCCACTACCAAATGCTGCAGCAAAAAAACAGCACAAAAGCTGTGTGCACGCTTTTTAAAACCAGAAAAGTAACCTAAATGAAGGAAAGTGGAAACGAGTAAATGTATCAGGTAGCAGATGCAGGGAAAGACCGGGCCCTGAAATTCTAGGCAGCTGAAGCCAGTCAGAGAACTACAGAGCTAGACAGACAATTTTCTTGGCCTACTATAAGGCTGCCTCCTGTGTGCCTAATGCAGATAAAAAGGAAAACAGAACTGATCTGGGCATGGGAATGTTTGGTGTATGTATGTCATAAAGACAGCTGCTTTTCTGGGGTAGATCTGGCGAGAGGCTCTAGCTCAGTGCAAGGGCAGCTATTTTGCTTACAGAATGTCCCTCTCCCAGTTTCAGTCCCTTAGCATCTCCACTGAAAAGTTGGGGTAGGGGAAGGGAAGGTGCTTAATGCTTCCTCTACTGTGCTGTTTTCCTGATTTAAGTACCCTGCCCAGCTGCCACTGATTCCTTGGCGCAAAAGCTAGATGTACTAGCTGGATCCATCAATTGCGTATTCTTCCGCTTATGTGACATTTAAATGCGAGAACAGCAGACAGACCAGGAAGGATTTTAAGAAAAAACAAGTGTGCTCTATCATATAATGCTTTAGGTACTGTTAAGACTCGTCTCTTTTCCTGCCCCATTTACCCCTCTCTTTATGTCTTATGCCTCATTTCACCACACACCAACTATGCTGCTGTGTGCAAGCAAATTTAGATTTAGCACGGTTAGAATGAACTGCAGAGAGGGTAGATTTCAGGGTGAAAATGTATGCCTGCCAATTAGTACTACGTACTTTCTCATAATTACAAATATAACACTAAATCTGCTGCAGCCCTTGCAATGTGGGGAATCTCTGGCCCTACAGTTCAAAAGCTGCGCTACAACATTTCAAAGTAACAAATGTGGGGACATCATCATTAATTAAAATAAACCATCAAAGCTCCACCTGAACAATAATAAAGTGGAAGAAAACTAGTGCAGCAGAAAATCTCCAGCATCAGTGAATAAAATTGTTTAAGTATTCATTCTGAAAGGTCTGGGCTAATAAAAAGGCTCATCATTCAGCATGAATGTTTGCCACTCCAGCACCAGTATGAGCCTGCCTGTCCGTCTATCCAGAGACTTCTCTACCTTTTCCACAGCACACTATGTGCTGGTTCTTCTTGCTGCTGTCAATGACCACATCAGGATACTTCCAAAGGAAAGCATTGGGAGCACTGCAAGCCGTTTATTTTCCTTAGAGGTGTTCAGCAGTAAATGCTTAAATGGAAGCGTTTTATCATTCTTATGTACACAAGAGGGCAGTAAAATCCTCCACGTGCATGCAAAAGGGGGGGGGGATACCCTGAAGGGGGAACGTCACAGCCAGGCCATCTTCCCCAGCCTAGACGCTGTTTCTTTGTTGTTTCCATTCTGCTGTCCAGTTTACCTAAAGAATTAGCAGTGCTGGAGAGTAGAGAGAGGCAGCTTGCTAGGGTGACAACTGGAGAACATGTCCCATTTGAGCTGCCCCTGGTTTTCTCCTGAAGGAGCTGTGCTTCTGCAGTGCCAATGAGACACACTTTGCAACCTCACCCAGCTTATTCAGCAGCGACGATCTTTGCAGTAACTTCAAACAATAAAAACACATGCCTGCGGAGGCGGTGGGAATTGGGTGGGCTTCAATGAAATAAGCAAGATCTATAAAATTACCCATTGATTCTACCCTCCCCCCACCAACTCTCTCTCTGGATCCTGCCCTGTCTCCTGCAAGTGATAACTTCCCACTTAATTATGAGTGTCTTCTTTAGCATGGAGGCTGTGTCATCCTATCCCAAGCCTGCCACCACCCCAGCTTCTCCAATATAGTTAAGTCTTCTGTAGCGGTGAGAAATTGTCCAAATAGCACAGGGAAATATAAGTTTGGTTTGTATCTTTTTCACGCAGCCTGGAAAAGTGCTTTAGCCTCTTTGTGGCTTTTCCAGCTCTAGTTGCTTTAGCTACCCTGTCCTACCAAAGCGGGTTTATGCACAGATCAGAGGCAGCTGCTGCGTTATACCAAGTCAGATTGTTTCTCCAGGTATTGCCCACTGTGATGAGATCTGGCTTTCCAGAACCTGTCCCATCGCCTGTCACCCTGGAGACTCACTTTCTGCATGCAGTGTGTGTCCCAGACCACTGAATTGTTGTCCTTCTCCATATCCTACAAAGCAGAAAAGGGCCTCGATGTATTTGAACCAGCACATGCACAAAACATCCATATGTAAATAAGGAATTGTGAAGATATCTAAATGAGACTTGACAGACACTCTCAAAAGGCAAGCAATAATGTTTCAGTACATGTATGAACTTCGCCTGAGACTGTCAGCAATCACATGTATCATAGGCGCACAGATAACGACAGCTGCAGCCAACTCTATGATCTTCTGTACTGTTTGGTTAGATGGCACAACTATCCACTTTTACCATTTCAAAAAGTTGCTGTGACCACGTCAGGGCAAGAGGTTAGTGGAGCAGACCTCCGGCTTAATCAATAAACCAGATTAAGAGCTGGTGTGTGGGTGCTTCAACTCCCTGCTCACTCGTGCAGCTCACTGGCTGAACATGGGCCTGTCCCTACCTGATCTCGGCCTGATCTACTTCACAGGGTTATTGTAAGAAAAAGTGGGGGGCGGGGGGAGAACCAGGCGTACAGCAACATAAAAACCCACATAAGTATCTAATTAAAACACAGCCCTTCCTCTCAATGGAGGAAACACAATGGTTAGGGTCCTGCCCACCCTCTTCCCTCTTCCCAGCTGTTACATCAATATTCCATTAGAGATGGCCCTGGCTGCACCCAGAAAAGAGCAGGCCTTTGGCCTTAGCTCCAGTAGCTGTCCAGCAGGTTTTTCTGGCACCGCGAGTATGCTATAGATTTTTAAGGCTATCAAAAACACAATGCATGGATTACAGTGTTTACAGACTGGGCTTTAACAATCCATTCATGAAAAGTGGAATAGGCTAAGGGTTAAGAAAAGTGCTTGAGCAGTTTCCTGGGTGAAATTTTTCCGTGATCAACATGACACTTTGAAAGATAAGCCTGCTGGTATGCCCATCCCCCTGTCCCACTCCAGAGGAAGAAAGGTGTGTAGATCAGAGGTCAGCAGAAAGCCTCCAGAGGTTTTGCCAAGGTATTGGCTGGAAAGCCAAGTGGGATTTTGACACTCCCAAACAGCCAAGTTGTTTCACTTATGTGGGTAGAAAGACTTAGCTTTTCCTCTATTCCCCTGTGCAAGTCGTCTTTCTCCAGTTTCCTGAAAAGCTGCTCTGCAAGATTTTTTTTAAAAAACATGGGAAAACAACTCATTCCACACTTCATGCACACTGAAATTGCCTCTTCTGTATTTAGGACACATGCCACATATAACGGTTGCTATGAGATACCAACTACAGACAATTTGGGATTTTCAAATTAAAGGTTCGTTGAAAAGATGTTTTTCCCATTATGTCACTCTTTAGAGAGGAGGCATGTAAGTTTTTCGAACACCTACCAAATTGGGTGCAACCCAATGTACTAGTCAGCTAAGTTTATCCTTTATCAAAACAGGGCTGGCTGTAGCACACAGCCAGTTTAGATGGATACCTTGAGTGGCAGAATAGAGGCTTTCTATTTCAATTTGGAGATTATTGCTCATACCTTCCATATCTATATACAGTCCTTAAGCCAGCTGCATGTCTAAAACATGTGAGAGGTGCTTTCACACCTTCCCTTTCTAGCAGCCACTTTGAGCGTTTCCACAACCTCCCTGAGCAACTTTTTCCATTGTTGATCTGTTTAAACGGTTAAGTTCTGAACACTGAAGGCTCCCACTGGCAAGGCATCATATGGCAAGCAGTGAGCAATCTTAACTGGATGGCACCGCTGCTTCCCTCTCTCCCCACCCACACATCACACCATCCTTTGTGGCTTATCTGACAAACAGTATATAAGCAGCTCCCATCTTACAAAAAGTGTTTGTCTTTCTCTTTCTACTTGTTGACGCCCTTGCTATTTTGAAATTGTTTGCTTTTCTCCATATATAAAGAGAAGTAGTTTCACCTGAAGGCTACTGTACTAAACCTCTCTAGGCATATTTACCTTGGAGAGAGTTCCATCAAAACTACTTCTGAGCGAAGGGACGTGGGTGGCGCTGTGGGTAAAAGCCTCAGCGCCTAGGGCTTGCCGATCGAAAGGTTGGCGGTTCGAATCCCCGCGGCGGGGTGCGCTCCCGCTGCTCAGTCCCAGCGCCTGCCAACCTAGCAGTTCGAAAGCACCCCCGGGGGCAAGTAGATAAATAGGGACCGCTTACCAGCGGGAAGGTAAACGGCATTCTGTGTGCTGTGCTGGCTCACCAGATGCAGCTTTGTCATGCTGGTCACGTGACCCGGAAGTGTCTCCGGACAGCGCTGGCCCCTGGCCTCTTGAGTGAGATGGGCGCACAACCCCAGAGTCTGTCAAGACTGGCCCGTACGGGCAGGGGTACCTTTACCTTTTACTTCTGAGCGAATGTGCATAGGACCGCATTGCAAGTTTCCTAGTCTTCCGTAGTATGAAGGGAGAGATGGGAGAAAAAGAATATTCCCCAATGCTCAGGATCATGTCACGCAGTGTTAAGCATTTCAAAACAAACAGCTCAAAGTCACCTAAACCTTTCTTGGCTATTTCTTGTGAAAGTTTTATCCCACCACCATCACCTGTACTTACCTTCCTAGATGCTAAACTCCTGCTGCCCCTTCTTCAATCCCAAATAATTCCATTAGCAGCAACTGGAATCAAAGCAGAAAGCAGACATGTGGAGGAACATATAGCTATTTATTAAACTTTTATTAAGTCTTAATTTGTTCTAAACATCCTCCCTACTACAAAAATGAATCATACTCTTTGCTTTCACTGTGATTCAATTCTTTATGTTACATTACCGTTTCACAAATATTTTGACAGGCTGCTAGATAGGCTCCTTTTCTTTTGGGGTAACAAGAAACAAATGGAAGGGGCTTGAGTCTAATGACTTTGTTCTAGCCAGGCACAACAGCAGGTTGACAGCAGGTATGCACAGAGCAGCTGTTCTAGGGATGCTTGCTCCAAGACCACCTTCCTCCTCCTTCCTGTTATGTATGTATCCCTTGCTTATTTAAGGGAGCTACGAGAACAAAAGCCCCCATGATAAACCCGAACACAACTCTTTGAAGTGACAGTTCTCTTTATTATTTTTGGCTGCAGATTTTCCCAAACAGAGTAAAAGTCATCAGGCCTCCTCTCTACACATGTGCAATGAAAAAATGATTAAAGCTTTTCTGCCCCAACAGTGCCATCACACACTTGAATAATTGAAGAACTTGTTTGCTGTGTTTCCTCGTGCAGCATTAGGAAACAGGATGTGCAGCTAAGGCATCATTCCTTGGTAAATAACAAAATAAATTAAAAGCTAGCAGGAAAAACAAAGGATACAGCCATTTGGGCTCCACCACCCACCAGGGTATGCTATCCAACAGGATAGGTCCACTTACTTTTTTTAAGCAAAGCTGCATGTTTCACAGAAGGAAGCAATCCAGTGTTACCCAGCAATAGAAGAGTTTTATATGCAGCTGAGGATAGTTCCCCTCCCACCCCACTTATTGTTACTAATGAAGAGTAGCTGCAAGCAGGGGACACATCAAGAGGACTAATGAATCCATTGCTTCCTTTTGTTACCAGTATGCTGCTTTTCTAAGTTGCAGATTCCCACAAGGCATAGAGCAGAATGGAGCAAGCTGCTGTGCACTTGCTGTTGGAGTGGAAATCAAAGCCAATCCATGCCCCTAATAAATACAAAATTGCTCTCATGCCCTCCTGTTTCCTTAAGTGTATCCAGAAATCCTTAGTTCTAGGAACTAAGTCCAGCTAAAACACATCAAAGTGATGCAGGAAGTACTGCTAGAAACTGAACAGCAGAAACTACCGCATTTCTTGCCAGCAAGGCTTACAATATAGAAATTCTTTGTCATCATACTGATGTGTACAGTTTTCTCAAGGTAGCCAAAACATTTGATGCAACAATCCTTATTCAGAAAAGCAGGAACAATATTTTGGGGAGTTCTGAAACAAGATGGCTGGTACCATTATAACATCTTATCTGACTTCTGATGGTTTCTGCATGAGTTCTGAAAGATGGCTGAAACAATTGAATAAAGGCAGAAATATACAATGTCACTGACATCACTGAAAATTGATCACACACAAAGAATTTGGGTGTTGTGAGAATTTTTTGGGATATTGGAAGGGGGTGGGATAAATGGCCAAAGCCAGAACTGCCCGACGCTTCAGAGAAGACATGTAACTTTCCTACGACTCAGCTCTATTCTGATCAGCAGCAGAATAAGGCAGTGCAGAAACACAGAGGTGAATACATTCTTTCTGTTGGGAAAACCCTATGTACAAGCTTCCCTCCCCTCAGGCACTGAGAGCAAGACAAGAACGACAATAATTGGAGATTGGCAGGTCACTTCTGGGACAGCTTAGCAATGAGTTCCTTCCATTCTTCTCTCTTGCCTGTTATGTAGGAGGGAGTAAGGAGCTGAAGCACTGGCTCCTGCTGTCCCCGGAAAAATTCCTGACACAGAGCTTCTGTGTTACAGATTACGTACATCCCACAGTCATAGCTATTCTGCTGGGCAGGGGCCTTCTCCTCCACAAAGGCAACTTTGCCTTTCTTGCCGAGAAAGACCTCCAAATTCCCTGCTACCCGTCTGGCATGGGCAGAGTTGCTCCTGGTGTGGGAATCATAGTGAGCAAAGCGGTTTTTGTCTTGGAAGTAAACTAGTAGGCTCCAGTGTGTGCCGCCAGCAGCCTGGCTGGAGTTGTCGTTGATGGCCAGGAACACTATTTTCTTGTGGAGGAGGTTCAAAGGCTCAAGAAATAGGGCCAGCTCCTCTTGGCTGCTCGTGCACTTGATGAACTGAGCCACCTCGGGGCCAATGAAGCATACTTGATCGGAGAAGTCTTGGAACTGGTCGTTGGCAAAGTACTCAAAGGCAAACCCGATGATGTGGTCGTTGAGCCAGCAGGGAGGATCCAGCAACAAGACATCTGATTGTCTCAGCAAACTGTCCATGTAACTTAGGACAACAGGGTCCATTCTATCCAGGCAGACTCACGGCAGCCAGAGAAATACCAACGCCTAAAATAATCAAGGGTGAAAAGAACAGATTACTATTAAAATAGGTTGGGCTCTCCTCGTTGCTGAAGATTACCAACACAGTCATGGAATTGTGCCAGTTAACCTGCGGAGGGTCTTATTAGCCTCCCTACGTGATTATGATCACCACCAAACACACACACCCCAAGTTTTCTGGCAAATGCAGAAGAGGAAGAAACAGCATTTAGTCTCCCTGAGGTAGGGAAAAGGTAAGAAACAGTGGGAGAAGAATCCTTCTCATGCTCAAAACTGAGCATAGGTGAGGGAAGACCCTGTCCCTCTCTCAAATTCTGGGAGCTTGAATGTACTGTACTGGAGTACAGAGAAGGAACAAACAGCAGAAGACTCTGCTGTTTCTTGCCTTCTCTAAACTTCTGCTTAAGTGGGACTGGATATGTGCTGTTAGGCATCCTTCTTATTAAAAGACCAGGGATTCTTTCCCCAACCATCATTTTTGTGGATGCTTGTAACTGATAAACATAAACAGGAGAGCCAATTTGTTCAGCTACAACCAAAATAAAAGGGACAGGTTCACCTACAGCTGCCATATTTCAGCCTAATCTAACTTGCAGGGTTGTAGTGAGGATAGAAAAGGACATGTATATCACTTAAGGCTCTTTGGAGGAAAGGAGGAATATAAACTTAAATAAAATACACACCAGAATAACAGACCAAAGAAACAAGCCTAAGAACTGCTAAGGTCGGCAGTTCAAATCCCTGTGACGGGGTGAGTTCCCGTTGCTCAGTCCCAGCTCCTGCCAACCTAGCAGTTCGAAAGCACGTCAAAGTGCAAGTAGATAAATAGGTACCGCTCCAGCGGGAAGGTAAACGGCGTTTCTGTGCGCTGCTCTGGTTTCACCAGAAGCAGCTTAGTCATGCTAGCCACATGACCCAGAAAAAGTGTCTGCAGAAGCAGACAAACGCCGGTTCTCTTGGCCTTTAAAGCGAGATGAGCGCCATAACCCCAGAGTCGTTCACAACTGGACTTAACTGTCAGGGGTCCTTTACCTTTACTGAACTATGTAAGGTACCACAATAATACCACTATAAACAGTAACAACCTATTACAGTCCACGGGAGGGGATGAGGTGCAGCTTCTATTTTTAAGCCAATACTAGAATCTGCAAGGCTGTATACGTTTTGTGCCTAGTACCAGAGACACTACCTGTACACTTCCTCTAGATGGACAAAAAGGCAAAAGCAGGGGAAAAGTCACAGGTATCAAACCACTTTAAAGTAAGTAGTTTTATGGCATAATTTACCAGCTAGATCTGAAGTAAGATATGCTATAGTTGATGACACACTGATTCAAATACCAAAGCTTGCTTAAATAGAACACATCTTAGTTGATCATTAAGATGGCTCCTTTAAATATCCAAAATTATTTTTAAAACACAAGAGGGCAGCCCATGGCACTATAGAATACACCCTAGCAAGTGATGGACTTATGATGCATGGTTTATTTAAAAACAATTCCAGAGAACTTTCCGCCTTTCTTCTAACAAACCCACTAGGCAGCAGGAGAGAAAAATTCCACAACCGCATTCTCTTCTATTCAATAGACTTTTTCAAGATTTGCCTTCAGGCTGCAACTAGACATTATGCCAGGCATGGGGCTGCTGCTGAAAATGACAGCCCCATGCAGAGTCTTCTCTCAAGAACATTTATGCACGCTTACAGATACCTTTCCTCCATTTCTTCAGTTCCTGCCAAAGCTGCCAGTTGTATGGTGCAGGAATGAGGAAATGGTGGCATGCTGCCATGTGTAAATGTACCTAAGGAGTGCAGGACACATGGCTGCAGTTTTTAGCAACTGTCCTGTATCCAGTATAACTTCTAGTTCTGTATTAACTGTGGCATCCAACATGCCCACGCTGCTTCTCTAAAGTGAACTGTCTTTCCAGATAAACTGGAAGGGATTCTGGAGTGCTTTCGTTATGAGGAAGGCTGGCAAGAGTGCAATGGGAAGTGAAAGCAGAAGCCAGGTAGGAAACAATAATCTGATAAGCAGGGTCCTCCACAACAGGTGGTCTAACATCAACTGAACTTGAGAGCATATTTTTAATTACCAGTACTAATCAGCCCCAGATTAGCCCTGAAATCAGAGACTTGTAGAGTTCAACAGGGCTTACTGGTAAAATTAATGTAGCCGTGAAATTATTTGAGGCTTCATGTTCTGTAAATATCAATTCTTTATCACCCAGGATCTGGTCCAGCCTTCTGAAAGCACAGCCTGCACACTGCAAACATTGTCCCTCTGGCATGACTCAGTGCAAACCAGGGAGCACCCACCCAATTCAGCAGGAATGAAATCAAATGTGCTGGTTTATTTACTCATCAGGAAGGAAGTGGGACGCTTCTAACTGCAGTATAAATGATTATGGGACAAAGAAAAGTCAAATTTACCCACTACTTCTTCAGATGAACCAGTGAACCTTGTCAAGCTTTGTTAGGTCAAAAATTAAGCAATATCCTTTTAAGATCTGAACAAGGAAACTAAAGTGATATACCGTACATGAAACATACTGGATGCATGTACCAGTGGGAGGGAACATCTCCAGGGAACCATTTTTTTTTTTACTCTTTTAAGTGTCTAGAATTTTCCACATTTGTCAAAATGAAATGTCTTACCAACCAATGCACAAGGCACTGATCATTCCAGTTGAGCGTTATCAAACATACAATAATAAAATGTAAGGGGAGCAGTTACAGTTACCTAACACAACTTGTCACTCAGCCAGCTCTATTCTTAATCATCCTTGAGATTCAAAATAAGAAAAAAGGCAGGGCTGGTTCTGATGTTTATGGAATCATCCTTTGGCTGCAAAAACATCTTTTAATACATGTGAGTAATCCTCAGAGTTTGCTAGCAGATAATACTGGAAACTACTGCTGGAGTCCTGAACTGCTGTGCCTTATGGAATCGTACACAAGGCTATCTATTCTCAATTCCCCCCTCCCAACCACATGAAAATTGTGGAGGATCTTGGTGGATTACTCAATCATCTTTCTTAATGCTGTGTATATATTTACAGGTGAAAAACAACCCAAAGCAATCTCAGAGAAGGGGTACTGACCTCACTGTTCTTTAACTCTCTTTGCAGGTGGGGATATGGGCTCCACTGCAAGCCCAAGTACCAGGTGGGTTAAAGGTCTCAGGCAGATGGCTGAGAGTTAATCCTCCAAAATTCCTCTTGTGCCTCTCCGCAGGAGCTCTTAGACCAACTTGACCGCCCTGTGGCTGTGCGCAGCTACTCAAAATCATCAGCAGAAACCCCGTTGCACCCTTAGCCACCAGGGATTCTATAGGTGGTTCAAATCACATGACTTCACTTAACGCTTGGGTTTAATACTGACCAGTGGGAAGACAGGGCCAATGCAAGGAATAGCTAATGTGTTCAGATGCTGGCTAACTTATTGACATCTAGCTGTTGTCCCCGCCCCCTCCACTCCTGCAGACCACCTGAGTGGAGCTCGTGGACCACTGGTGGTTTACAAACTACAGCTTGAGAACCCCTGTTCTAAAGAAAGCTGAAGAAACAACCCATTTCACAAAAGAGGTTGTTTCCTAATTGCAGCCATAAGTGCAACTTTCAAGACAAGCTTTCAGTTTTCAAAATCCTTAGTTCTTATTCTTCCTGAAACCAGGCATTTTGCACTGGGAGGATCCCTTAATTCTACACCAGCCTGATTTTTGAACAAAATACTTCAGGAATATCTAATGGCAATGGTAGAGTACTTAATGTCTAAAAAGCGATAGGATACAAAACCTTACCATTAATCCAAGATGTGACATTGCTATTATTACTACCATTATAAATAAGATGTGAGATGCCTGCTTGCCACTACATACCAATGAAAGATAAACTATACACATTTTTAAAAGCATTATCAATGCTGTGTGTGTCTTGGCTGTGAAAATTGATGAGGGACACTGAGCAATGTGTGACCATCCAGAAATAGAAATATGAAAGCAATTAAGTCTTCCATGGATGCAAATATTTTGTCTTGGGCCAGGTCCCAAGAAACAATTATCAATCTTACCAGTCTTCACAATTACCGGTAAATAATCTACCATTTTCCATGATGATTTGAAAGGGAATGTCCGGCATTGAATCCTAGAAGATTATGATTACAATCTCTTCTAATGTACGAGTAACCTTGAAATGCCATTATAATCTATTCCTGTGTCAAGTGTGGTGAAGAAGTCAAGTCAAGGAAGTTATTAGAGGCAAGAAGAATTCCTTCAGAAAATCGAAATCTTCCCTAAATTAGAAGAATAAACTGAACTACAAACATGCACCCACAAAAATGCAAGCAGGTAATTAAGGATGCAAAAATAGAATTTGATTAATTATATTGCTAAGATCATTAACACCAACAATAAAAATTAGTTAAATACAACAGAAGCAGGAAAAACTCTGGTGAGGTGCTTAGACTGCTGGACAAAAAGGAATTTAAAAGTTGTGCTGAAGGAGAATAAAGACATTGAAGAAAACCTGAATGAATTATTTGCCACTGCCCTACATCTTGTGGAGGATGAAGGGCAGATACCTGTACCTGAACTGACTTTTTGCAGGACGCGAGGCTGAAGAACTGAGACAAATAGTGACGACAAAATACATGAACTTCTAAACCTTATTGACAAATTAAAAATTAATAAGAATCACTCCTGGGATTTTGTCTTTTAACACTTGCTTATAAATGACTTAGAATTAGGGATGATTAGTAATGTAGCCAAGTTTGCTGACAACAGAATTTTAAAAATAAAAAGAGATTGCAGATTGCCCCTAAAGGATCTTTCCAATTTGGATGAATAGGCAATAACATGGCAAATATGTTTCAATATAAAGTTAAGTGTAAAATGATACATATTGGGTCAAAAAGCTCCAATTTCACATACATGCTGATGGAGTCTGAGCTGGTGATGACTGGCCAGGAAAGGGATCTTGGTCATGTGGAGAGTCCAAAGAAAAAAATGCACCAGTGTGCAGCAGATATGAAAAAGGTTAATTCCAGCCTAGGGATTATTATGAAATGAAGAAAAAACCAAACTGCCAATATTGTAATGCAATACAACTATGTCTCAGAAAAGGATATTGTAGATCTGGGAAAGATGCAGAAAAAGGCAACCAAGATAAAATGGGAGGTGGAGCAATTCCCATATGAGGAAATGAATATTTTTGGGGTTTTAGGTCAGAAGAAAGGTGCGAAAGGAGGAAAGATGTTAGAGATGTGAAATTATGCATGGTATGGAAAATGTAGATAGTTCTTCTCTGTCTCATGGTAGGAGATTCAGGTCAGACGGAAGAAAGGAAACCATTTAGAGGTTTTCTTACAATCAAGTGTTATGTATATTTTGTTAAAGAAAAATAAGTACTACTTCACACGGCACATAGTTATCCTATAGAATTTCCCGCCACAAGATATGCTGATGGCCAATGGCCACAAACTTCAAAATTTAACCACCAGGCCTTGCACAGCTACAGAATTAATCTGCATTCTGTTCTTTGCTTAAACACCTGCAAACTCATGTTTACAGCAATGCAGTAGTTTTTCAGTTTTCTCCTAGAGCACATAACTGGCAGTCTTTTGCATACATTTGTTCCCAAAAGCAAAGAAGCACTGCTCGTTCTATTAGCTGTTACTTGAAACTTCTTGACAGTGACTCACCATATAAATCCCACATCTAAAGAAAATCCTTGTTAAACACCAACTCAGTTTCCTGGGAGATGTGACAAAGCATATGGTATATGCTATAGAAAGGAGAGGAAATGGAGCCTACAATTAGCAAGGGGGAAAATATGCCAGGGGCTTTTTTTAGGCCCAGCAAGTTCCCCACATGATGGCAAGGTAGAAATTTTATTGTTGATACCCAAAATTGAGCCTGGAACCTTCTCCAAACAAATCTTAGTCTCAAACACTGAGCTGTGGCCTTTTTCCTAACAGGTAGCTCTTACAATACTTGTGAAAGATGCTCAGGCCACACTCCCTCAGAAAACCTTTGTCTTTGGAGACTAAAGTATATTCTGTGGCATGAAGTACCTTCATAAATTGGGTTGAAAACACCAGTCATGGCCCACGGGGACAAGAGACAGCCTGACCACAGTTAGCCATACTTTGCTAGCATCTCATTTGGACTACCATAATGAGCTGCCCTTGAAGACTGCTCAGAGACTGCAGATGGTTGAAAATGCTATGGCTAGATTGCTAAGTAGGGCCAACAGAATGGAACATACCTCTCTAGTTTCAAAATGACAATATTTGCTCCCAGTCTGTTTCCCTGAACCATCTAAAGTGCTGGTTTTAACCTTTTCCAGAGAGGTAATTATATTTGTTGGTTGCAGCAACAAAAAGGAAAAAAATAAGTATTGTGACACCTCAGAGATTTAACAGATTTTATTACAGCATATGTTTTTAAGGACTAAAGGCCACTTCCTCAGTGAAAGTGCCGAAAGACTCCTTGAGGTTCAAACCTATTCCAACTCTGTAAGTTAAGATGGGTGGTAAATGCAGAAATGACACCAGAGGAAGAAAAGCTCTGTTTTTCAGGGCTCTTTTTCAAATTTTGTATATTATACCATAACCACCAAGGGAATATGGCCCAACTCAGCAGAGCTTACTTCTGGATGTAACACAACCCTATAGGTGGTTGCTCAGATTTGTTACAGAAAAATACAAACAAAAAGTCTTGTGTCACTTAAAGATTAGCATATTTATTATGGCACAAGTTTATACCACAACAAACTTTTAACATGAAAAATGGGTGCTTCTCTCCTCTTCAGCCCAACTGCTTGTTTATTGTTAAAAAACTAAACAAAACCATGAGTCTTCTGGCACCTTAAAATGCCAATAGATTTATTGTGGTCTGTCAAGAGCATTTATATGCCATAAGAAGCTAATATCTAAGGACGTGATGCTATTTATATGTACTAGAGAGCAATGTGTAAGATTGCATTGCTAATTTCATAAGTGGGCCAACTTGATTATATGTTTTTACTTCCATCTTTTTGTGCATTGCCAAATGCAATTATGGGCCATAATATGTGACTTTCTTTAATGTCTCCTAAGCATGGCTTCTTAGGTTACCTTCAGTTTATTTAAGAAATGTACTGAGTTGCAAGAGGTGCAGAAAATAACAAAGAATATATAGGGGCTGGAGCACCTCCCCTATTAGGAACAAGCACGATGTTTAGGGCCTTTTTCTATAGAAAAAAAATGCAAATACGGAAGGACATGATCAAAAATTACACAAATCACTGCCACTAGAGGTAGTTAAACAAATTAATGAAGGGAATAAGTCAAGAGCTACTAATGACAGCTATACAGAAGCTCCATTGTTTGGGAACGCAACCAGGAGAGGGCTATGCTCTTCTGCACATGCAAAAAATGTTCCTGTTTAGCCAAGCCTACCAAGATGCTTAGAAAGTTGAGATAATTTTAAATCTGTTTCAGCATTTTAACTTTTGTATGCTCTAAAGTAGGGTTATGAAGTTTTCTTGATTTGACTGCTTTATCTTTCGCAAACCGCTCTGGAGGTTGAGTCAAGCGGCCTTTGACTGGATCTGGTACAGCGATTCCTAGGTACATGGCCTGCACCAAAGCTAAAGCATCGCAGCAGCAGCAGCAACTAGGTAGCATCACCACCACAAAATCCAATTGAAATGCAGACTGGCTGCGACTACTTATGCACTGATATCTACGTAATGAACATTACAAATACAGTTTCGTTATTGGCGGACATGAATCTATTCATGCAGGTTTCTGGAATGATTAAGTCAAACTTTATTTCATTTTGGAAACCGGCATCCTGGAGGCCAGGGGATCAAGTTCTGGCAGCCAAAGGCCTCCCCCCGCCCGGCTGAGCGGGGGCTGCGACCACCGACCACGGTCCCTGACACCGAGGGACGGAGGGAAGCGCTGCCCAGAGGCCGGCGCGGGGGGGGGAAGGGACCCACGCGACCCACCGCCGACCAGCTCTCTCTCTCTCGTCCTCCTCCATAATATTTCTACCCCAGAGGCAGGATAACTCCACACGCGGCGGCGGCGCCGCCGTCGCTCCCCACTGACACACCTCACGGAGGAAGAAGACCTTACCTGGCGCCGGCCTCATTCTCCTCACGACGCTCTCGCGGTGGCTGCGGGCGGCCGTAAAGCGCGGCGGGCTTAGCAACCCAAGGGCTGTCAAACAGGAAAGCAACTTCCCCTTCCCTTTCCTCCCCGCGCTCCCTTTCCGCGCGGTAGTGGCAAAAGGAAAGGGGGGCTCATTAACATACGGGACCACTGTGGTGGTGAGGGGGGGAGTGGGAGGCGCAGCTGCTCCGGCTCTTGTCGCCCGTGCGCCCCCTCCCTCGCCCGCCTTTGAGGTGCGTGGGCGGGGCTTAGCGTGCGGGTTGGGCTGGGGCGCGGCTGTGGGGAGGGAGAACGAGCCTCGCTCGCTCGTGCGCGCGCGACTTGGGCGTGTTCTCCTCACAGCTCGGCGGAGGAGGGGGCCCGAGAGAGAGCGAAGGGCGGGGATTGATGAGGGAAGACGAGGCGTGATTGGAGAGGCGGGCTTTGCGCGTGCCTTCGTGTGTGTGTGAGGGCGCGCGAGGGAGGGAGGAGGCGGGGGGGGCAGAGGAGCGAGGCGAAGCGGCGTCTCCCTCACAGAGCGGCGGAGGGTGGGGGCGAGGGAAGGGAGGCTGAGGAGCGCGGACGCGAGGCGGCGGCAGCAGCAGCAGCAGGAGGAGGCGGAGACTGCGGCGCGGCGGTGCTGGCGGTCGTCGTCGTCGTCGTCTTCCCCTCCCCGCCTCTCGCAGCCCGTGAGGGGGCACGATAAGCGGAGGGATGCGGCGGCCCCGCCCGACCCACAGGTGAGGCGCCTTCCTCTCCTTCCCCGGAGTCCCCGGGCTCCAAAATCCTGCCGGGTTGGCGGCTCTTCCTTCCTTCCTTCCTTCTGCTTCCTCTCAGTGCAGCCGGTTATGAGGCGGCGGGGGGCGACGCGGCACCGCGGACGGAGCCCTTCTCAGCCGGGCTTCCTTTCCCCTCACGGTCTCCGGTCGCCGCCTCGGCACCTGCGGCTGTGCTAGGCGGCCGCCTCTGCCGCCCCGATGCCTCCCGCTTCCTTCGTAACCTGACGGGCGGGAAGATAGGAAATGGTTGGGAGGGACGGGGGAGGGGAGGGGGGACCTAGTCCTAATCCTAATCCTGATTCTAATCCTGACGGAGCGGGTGGCTGGGCAGGTTTCTAGTCCCTTGCGTCCTAAGCGGGGTGGGAGGGAGCTGCGGGATGTTCATTCATTCCAGGGCATCGGTAGCCTTCCTTCTCCCTCTGCCTTCCGGCTTTGCTGGTTCTGTCCACCGTCAGGGGCTCCCGGGTTCCTCTGCATGTTTCTCACGAAATATATTTAAAAGATTCCTCCCCCAGCCCCCCTTCTAGATATTACCCCCCCCCCCTTTGGAAACTGCTTGCAAGGTCATGGAGCCTTCTGCTTCGCTACCCACCCCCATCCCTGCGGTGTGGATGTAGTATGAGATCATCCATTTTTGGAACCCTGCTACAGTGTCTTGTATTTCTGGCACTGTTGGGGAAAAAATGATGGTTGCTGTTGCATTGCATGTGTCTGGGGCTGAAATCTGGGCTACAGCTGCTCCATTGTGATCCAAATGAAAAGATTCCTGGCTGATAAAAGAAAAGAAAAACCAAAAACACTTTCCCCCTCTCCTACACGATATAGAGGGTCTTTTGCCTGCATCTCTTAAATTTCAGAATTCTCCACTTCCTTAAGACTTTGTCAGTGAAAACTTTTGTATTTCAGTTTTTTTTCTTTTATTCTTTGCAGCTGTGTGTACTGGATAACAAAGCAACCTTTTCTTATACTTCAGTGTAATAGCAGGATTTCTGGAAGTAGCTATGACTCTTAGTTTAGTCTGTGGGTTTGCTGTGCAGTTAGAACACTGCAGTATGGAGACAAATCAGTACATTCTGTCACATCACTGCTAAGCAGTGTTGGACTGAAACATCACTGTAAGCTATAAAGGATGCACAGAATTTGTTGTGGCTATGTTTTCCTCAAGGGTATTTTCAACATGACTCTGCAGTGTGGATAGCATTGTATATAGAGCTTTTGGGCTTAAATGTAAAAATCCTTTAAAATGAAGCATCAAGTGTGAAAAGGTTTATATCCTGGGTTAGCCCGTGTTTGTTTTACTCTTTCAGTAATGACAAGCCATGCAATCCCCACTCTTTCTTGTGTCATGTTGTGCTTTTTTTCTAAGCCTTCTTAAAAGCAGGCTTTAGTGACTGGGTGTTTGGCAGCAGCATCAACAGAAAATTGGCTCAAAGCCGCCCTACCCCAGCCCACCCCAGCCATTTCAGCAAGCTTCCCATTTAATACACAAACACACACATTTCAGTCTGTGCACTCCACTGCTCTTGTACATAGTGTATCATGTCTCCTTACCCTTTCCCCCTAAAAAAACCTTGATCAATTTTCTGCAAAAATGAAATTAACAAAGCTCCCTTTTAAAGGAGAAAAAACGGTTATACAGCAGTGTAGGAGAATAAATGTATTACTCTAAGGAACTTGTATGTGAGTCCTGCAAAGGTGAAAATGTAGCTCAGGATCACTGCAGGATGGTGTGGGTTTATTTTTATTTTTTTAAAAGGAAGCGACCACAGCCTTTTCAAAGTTAAGCCCTTCTAAATCCATTTGAATTTGTGGAATTACTAAACAAGCATTTGACTTTCTTCCATCAATACCAACAGAATTGAAAAGTTCTTAACTTTGGGTGGATTATGTTTAGCATTATTAAGCATGGAAGTCCATAAATAATCCAGAAAGAAGTACAAGTCTTCCATGGTAACATGCTATGGAAACAAGACCAAATAAATTATTTTGCTATTTGTCCTCAGAAATTGTCAGACTCCTTAAAATGACTAGTCATGCTGAATGGCTTGCACACATTAAGTAAGATTTTTATACTTTTCTTTATCCAAACAGCTGGCTACCATGTGGTATCACAAACTGCTTTCTACAGTTCTCTCAATTCAGCCAGGCTTTCTTATGTGACATTGGCAATGAGGTAGGAGACTGTTGTTGAGAAACACAACTTGAAAGCCCCTTTGAGTACCTAGAATTAGATGCACTTTGCTTTGGATCCTAGTCTCAGTTTTGTTGATTAGGAAAATTACCCAAGACTTACATAACAGGTCTGTACCGGCTGCATTTAATATTAAAGAGAGCCACATATAATTATGTACTGCTAGTATCTAGCAATGTATGTTTTACATAAATTTTATGTGATTTAGTTATCATGATGCAAAATAAAAAACATACTTATTTTTATCCATTATATTTTCAACACAGCTAGTTGAAAGTCCTTCAACTCAAATAAATACCTGCCTGTAGAACTCCCCCAGTCCTTGCAGTAGCTCTGCTTTAATAGATACTATTGAAAATGTTAGCTATAAATTGATTCTAAACCTACTGAACTCAGACAAAAGCTTTGTTAATTTTTAAATAAAGACAACCTATATTCCATTTACAGAAGGTGAGGTTATAGAATTACATGGCAAGTTGCAGGAATCAGAAAAGGTGGATACGTTTTAAATGTGCACTTACTAGTTATAATAACCACAGAGTTACAAGCAAACACAGTTAATATTACTAACTGTTCACGGTTCAGGTATTTGATGCTACAATCAACTAAAAGAAGTTTCTCTGTTCCTTTCGTATGAATTTAATAATTGTATACCATATAGTGTTTTTGTATATGCCTGCTAAAGATAATAAAATGGGTAAATGAAACTTAATCAGCTGTGCAGCATACTAGCCACAGCGACCATGTCACTAACAAGCACCACAGTGCATGAGAGCATCTGGTGTAAGTTGTTTGGTTTTCATTTAATGTTGTTAATCACCTAAAAAATAGAAAAAAACTATTTTTAAAGAGAGTATCTAATGTAAAGAAAGATAAGTTTGTCAACTGTATCTCTTTTAAATGAGGCCAAAAGTCTTTATTCACTGTTTGGTTTGCGATATCATACTTCACTGTTTAAATCAAATTTGAGCAAGGTTTGAGAAATATTTGCTGATATTTTGAAAATTATATATAGTAAGGCTTGTATTCATATAATTGTTTGAACTGTTTGGCTTTAGAAAAGCTTAAAAGCAATTGTTGATATCCAGCTAAGTCATACTTGGAATCGACTCATCAGGATCAATGGACTTAAGTAATTTAAGTTCACTGATTTCAGTGTATCTTCTCCATGAATCAGTTAGCTGAATATCACTCTGTGTTTCAGTAGATCTAGTAGGTTTTTTCATGAAGTTATGCTAAGGAGGGTAACTTAGTATATTACTGTGGCTGTCTGATTAAAATGTTGCAGTTTTTTAAATGACTTTATCATGAGAATTCATATTGATAATTCACATGTATTTATGGAGTTTTGCTAATGTCTGCTCTTACAGTGTTCTAGTATGGCAGCAACTTTAGTGAAAGTTGTGAAAGAATAGACATAGCAGCTAAAAATATTTACTTAAAAGGAAATTGAGTGCTTTGTTTCATCTCTGGTTTTGACTAATGATAGTCACCCATCAGATGGTTATTATACAACTAGACTTTAGTATCATTTTATCTTTGCTTCAGTTTTTACAAGAAATCTTAAGGATAGAAAGTGACTTTTTGCTCCCCTGCCAAAGTTTATGTAATGGGGATTCTATACATATGTAATATTCTCATATACGGAGCACTGAGGCTGAGGTGCCAGATAGTCGGCAGGTACATCTTTATAAAGGGTCACAAAAGGTGCTTTGTCCTTAAGACAGTGTGGTGTAGTGGTTAAGAGTGGTAGACTCGTAATCTGGTGAACCGGGTTCGTGTCCCCGCTCCTCCACATGCAGCTGCTGGGTGACCTTGGGCCAGTCCCACTTCTCTGAAGTCTCTCAGCCTCACTCACCTCACAGAGTGTTTGTTGTGGGGGAGGAAGGGAAAGGAGAATGTTAGCCGCTTTGAGACTCAGGTAGTGATAAAGTGGGATATCAAATCCAAACTTTTCTTCTTCTTCTTAAAGATGAAGAGTTTTATTTATGCTTAACTTTCATTAATGCCTTACCATAAGTTGGTATTTGGTGTTAATATGAATGTAAGAAGATCCCTGCTATGTCAGATCAAAGGCCTATCTAGTCTAGTATTTTGTTCTCATGGTGGCCAACCAGATGCCTATGGGAAGTCCACAAGCAAGACCTGAGTACAACAGCGTTCTGCACACTTGTGAATCACAGCAACTGGTGTTCAGAAGCATACTTCCTCTGACAGTATCACCACCATGTCCAGTAGCCATTGATAGTCTTATAAGCCATGAATTTGTCCCAAATCTATTTTAAAATCTAAGTTGGAGGCTGTTAATACTTCTCATGGCAGTGAGCTCTATAGCTTAACATTGTGCTGTGTAGAGAAATACCTCTTTTGATCTGTCCGACATTCAGCTTAATTGGATGGCCTTGATCCTGGGTTCTGGTATTAAAAGAGAGGAATAGAAATGTCTCCACTGCATACATTTTTTTTTTTTTTACGTCTTCATCATGTCCCTGCTTAGATGCCTTTTTTTTAAAACCTAATTATCATCACTTTACACTTGCTTACATTGAGTTGCGGTTTTAATGCCCATTCACTCAGTTTGGAGAGATGTTTTTCAAACTGCTTTCAATCCTTGCTTGTTTTTTACTATCCTGAACAATTTGGTGTTATGGGCAAACATTGATCACACCTAACTCTGGGTCATTTATGAAAAAGTTCAAAAGCACAGGACCCAATGCCAGTTCTTAGGGCTTCCCTTTTTACATCCCTCCCTTGTAAGAACTGTCCATTT